TTTTTTTTTTTTTTTTTTTTTTTTGAAGAACAAAAGAAAAAAGGCAGTGAATATTTTCTCCTAAGGAAGATTAAACAGTGAAGGCTTGGATCTCCTCCGTCTCCGTCATTCGTCTGCTTTCGATCCATCTATAGAGTAAAAGTTGTTTGTTCCATTGCATCTCGTTCTTCGCTTCCTCGGCCACCACCTGCAATTTTGTTTTTCTCTAGTGGGCTCTGCTGCCTCGCACGCAAGAGAAGGTGTGGTTAGTACCTTACTTTTGTAGTCTTTCTATATTTCTTCTACTTTTTTTTGCAATCCAATTCCATGCTCCTACTAAGAGGTCATCCAACTCTCCATCCTTCGGTAAGCCTCTCGAAATCCATAAGATTTTCTGCTATCCTCCGCACACATTCCCCCTGCAGAAACTATTTGCTGCTTTTTGCTTTAAAGTCCAGCCTGAGCACACTCACACGACTTTTACCACTATTATTTTCTTTCGTAAGGAAAAGAACAATAATAAAATAGAAGAGATAATCCCAAACCCATAGTATTCCTCCCGACAGGTCGGCCTAGCTCTTCTCGCAACCGTGGTTCTGGTGGTGTTTGATATACTGACACGGTGCATAGCGCTACTGCCAGGCTTATAGGGAACGCTATCCCTTTGCTTGCGAATTCCCACCACCTAACACTACCTGCTACTAGGAACTAGTACTGCCCAAGCAGCGACGTTTCTTTTTCTCCTTCAGTACTCGGGCGCCTCTTACTCTTGTGACCATTCTTGCCTCTGGTAACCCGTCCGAGTCCACTCCGACTCCCATCTTATAATCCTTTCTTAACCTACTTGATACGAAGGATCATTTGCTGAACATAAAAGGGAAGCATAATCCAACGCTCACGTCATACCTAGAATCACTGGGAATCACTAGAGGCTCTTTCTTTTCCCTTTTTATTTTCTTTTTTCTTATTTTTTTTTTACTTGTCTCCCAATTTTATTCTCAACTATTTTACATCTCTGTGTCCTTTTTTTGGATTTTTTTATTTGAACACCATTTTGCCCCTTCCCTTAATCCTTTCCTGGCCCTTGCTAATTTAACTAACCTGGGCTTTTTTTCATTTCCTTTTCTTTTTTCTCTCTTTTTTTTTTCCCTTCCTTCGTGTCGTTTTCTTTGCCTTGACCCTCTCTTCTCTCTCCACCGCCTCTCGCTCCCACCCCCCTGTTCTCCTCTTATCCCGCGTTTCCTCTTCGGTTTCCTCTTCCCTCTGTGGATTAGGCCCTCATTTTTCTTATTTACTTCCCCGTCTGGTTCCAGCGTGACCACGAGGCTATGCTAGCCTTGCAAATCACCCGACGGGAGCTGGAACTGTTTTGATTTGGACTGCGTTTCTGTCTGGCTTGGACTCCGCATCCTGGTCGCCTTACTCGCACCTTTTTTTCTCACGCACCACACACAACACACACCACCACACGGACACACTTGGCTTGCGTACATAGTACATACTTTCCGTACTGTACGTACTTACTTACATACACCGATACATACATACGACTACCCGTTCCGTTCCTTTACATACATACGAATACATACTTCCCCATACAAGCCACCATCCCTGTTCACCCCCAGCAGCTTCTTACCCAAACAACCCGCGGGACGTGACTTTTCGACTCACATCATCCTGCATTTGTTTTTCCTTTTCCACCCCCGTCTCGTTCCGTTTCTTAAGCAGCCTCTCGCGCTCCCTCGACTACAAATGTCCAGCAACCCCCACGATTTCAGCGACCCTAATCGACAGGGACAGTATCCACCTCCTCAGTGGAACACTAGTCAACCTGAGGATAACCCTTCCGCTCATTATCCGCCGGCCTCCCAGTACCCTGTATGTTTCACTCTTTCTATACCTCTTCTTGCGCCCGTTTCAACGTTCTCTTGTCCTGTGTTATATCACATTCCCCTTCCTCCTCCCACCCTTCCCCCCCCCTCTCTTTCCCCCCTTCTTTTGGCCTTTTATCTCTCCTCATCAATTCTTGTCGTTTCCAATTGAATCTGCTATCACTGACTCGGCGCTCTCCTCTAGTACCCTCCGGCGTCATATCCTCCACCAACTGCGGATCATCAGTATCCTCCACCACCGCAATCACAGTATCCGCCGCCGCCAAATATGGCTGCCATTCACCCGCATGTTCAGGGCCCGCAGGACCCCTACCGCCTCCCGCCTCCCCCCGGTGCTTACCGCCCCCCGGATGTCTACGCTCAACCACCGCCGCCTCAAGTCGTCTATCAAGCTGCCGCTCCACGACAGCGGACCGCCATCGCTTGTCGCTATTGCCGGAGACGGAAGGTATGCATCTACAGTAATGGGTTTTCATTTTTTTTGGCTACATTGTCTGGTTCTTGGGTAGGACAGTCGTGAACTGACGGTGGTTTTCCAATCAATAGATCAGGTGCTCGGGATTTGAGAGCTCTCAAGATGGACGTTGCAGCAATTGTATTCGTTTCAACCAGGAGTGCATGTTTACACCAGTCTCCTCCCAGGCACAAGCTTTTGTCCCCGCACACGCCGCCTACCCACACCTGAGAAACGCACAGAACCAAGGCCGTGGTGGCGCTCCGGTAATGCTTTATGGCGCTCACGGCCAACCTTTACCACCCCAACAACAACCTCAACCGGATGCTACACTTCCCCCGCCACAGGGAATGTATCAGCCGCCCTATGGTGGCGCAGCTCCCGTACCTCAGGACCCTGTAAGTTTCCAGTCATCTCTGTCCGTCGCCGAGCGCGCCTTTGCTTATTAGGCCCTCCATTTACAGAGACCTATTGGCCGTCGTGGCTCGAGCTCTGGGTTCGAGTACCCTGATCCCACCAATCTGGCCCCCGTAACACCAGCAACATCCGCTCCAGGATATCCGGCGCATTCTGCCCCAAGTCCATACTATCCACCTCCGCCTCAGCATGATCGACGTCCTTCACCACAGGCGGCTTACCCATACGATACTCGTCATTCCTCATCTCCTCACAATTCACCCTATCCTCCAATGCACCATAGCCAAGGCGCGATGACTCCTCCACCCACATCTACCCCTGGTGGCTCGTCTCGCGGTGGCCTGAATGTTCGTGACATGTTGAACCCGGGGGACAGCCAGGGCCGTTCTAGCACTGATAGTGATATGCTGAACGCCCTGAATCGTCGGGGCTTGAATCAGTAATCCCAGCACGGTACATCTCCACATACGTACAATGCGACAATGGTCTAGGTGGTCACTGAGGTGGATGGGTTAAAATGAGATACGAATAGACGGGAATGGAGCTGCAGATTCCAGATTCGGTTTTGTTGGTGGTTGACACGGAAGCGTGTGTGCTGGCCACACAGTCCTCCTTGACAATATACATCAGGCGTTCCCCTTGGGAAGACACGTCTGTGCCGTCAAAAATGTAAAGGAGAAGCGGGAGATCATCAAAAAGGGGGTTATATGGCAATGCAAGATCGAAACGTACCCCACTGTTTCCTCCCATACCGATGACAGGACAACATACGGCGAACGACAGAAGAGTATCGCAAGTACCCAGTGGATGCTCGACTTTAGACCACTGCAACGATGAGGCCAAAAGTGTGTCGTTCACGAGAAGGAAGCGGTGACGATATCTCTATGGGAAGAGATTTTTGAAGAAAAGGAAAAAGAAAGAAAAAAAAACTAACTTATTTTCGACTGCTACGAAGCCATGAAAACGAGAAGCAAGAGTGTTATGAGCTGCACGATCTGTATAGGGAGTTGTCGGTCATCAATGACTGTCGATGCGGTAGTGCTGGTTGTCAATTTCGCGGCTTCAGTCGGACGGGCATCACGCTTGACAGTCGATCACTCGCAATTCTTTTATTTATCACCTAAATTCCCCTTTGCGAATACAACATCACGGCTTTATAAACTATCTGGGGCAACCCATTAATGGAAATTTCTTTCTGTTGTTATCTCCATTCTGTTTCCCCCCGGACATCCAATTTTTATCATACTACCACATTCTGGGGTCTACAACAAATGCCAATTCGCACTTCTGGATTGCTCTAGTCGAGTGAGTCGGTACCCGAAGGGCCAATTGTTGTGGCATTGTATGGTCCGATATTGCAGGCAATCTTCCATTTTCCATAGTTCTCCAGTCAGAATCCGCGGGTGGATTCTCTAGGAGATAATTACCTCTGCGTATGCGAACAAACCTGGAACTGTGGCCTGAATTGACCAATATGATTCCGGCAGGATGAGGGGGATAGCGTTGTATGCATTGGATACGGGATACCTTTCAGCGTTGACCATCACGGAGCCAATTATGGTGTGGGATTTTTGCTGCATTTACCTCTTCGTTTTTTCTTAACTCTTAAAGGACCATTTTCAAAGCTTTTATCCAATGGCGGTTGTTTCATCAATTTCAGTGTTCCTATACATTTCGGGTGGCTCTCTGTATGTTCATGATATGTTTCTTTTTTTCGCAGCTTGTTTGCGAACTGCTTGTTATTGTGACCAGGGTATTCACCATTGCGAAAAAGGGGGTCATCTTTTTCTATTTTTCTTTGTAACCTGTTTTTGATACTCGGGAGGCTGTCTGATCAATCTTTTATCGTTATTTTGTTATGACTCGCAGATTTCAGTCTTTATTTGCCTGTTGATCTTGGTTGTCATGATGCATTGTGCATATCTTTTTTTCTCTCTCAAATGCTATGGTCTTATGAGTCTAATTTCTACTTTTTTGCTTTTTTTTTAAAAAAAAAATTCCGGCACGAAGTACCTATATACGTTAATTGGTTACCTATAAAATTAGATCAGCTCCTACTCGTATATCCTCTATGGTCCACGAACGGAGCCAGTTCGAAGTACGGCCTTGTCCCACGTGATAGTTACCCTAATTCCAACCTTACAATTACTCGACGATATCCGTCAACTACCGCTGAAACGTGGGAAGCTTCACAGAGATAAGTTTCGATTCATCCCTATCTACCCTAACTTAGAAACAAATCCCTTAACTGAGTAACTGAGGTTTAACGAATGGCAGGTATGCATCGGTCACACCAGGTGTGGTGGATCTAAAAAATGAGATAGACAATCACCGGGGGTGTTGGGTTAGAGGACGGGATGGGATATGTCGATGAATTGGGAAACATGATGAATTGAAGTGTATATTCTGGGTCTGAAAATGAGATTGACCGGGCTGGGGAACGAATGTAGTTTGGTTGGTTGCTTTGAGACATAGGAGATGTTTGTGTGTTGTGAATAAGTTGCATGTAAAGAGTGTTGTGGAAGACAGATGAGGAAAGAAAGGGGAACGAAGGAGCGGATGAGACCAAGGGGACAAAACACAGTTGATACAAAACGCCAATATTAGATTCAGAGTAAAGCGAAAGTGATTCCAAGTGTAAACGATTTCGGGGAAAGAGCGACATGGAATGAGAATGAAATAAACTAGTTTGTGTCTTCATAGATGGGAATTTGATGTATGAGGCTTGAGTATGGAGAGACATTACATATGGTTATGGTCAATGAGGGCGCAATTTATTGTCGTTTATGGATGTTGTGGGTCTTTGTATTTCTCTAGGACTTCCATCATCTTTTGTGCGCGAACTTGGTCTTCGACGAGAAGGCCACGCTGCTTCATTGCCTTGTGCAGAGCATCGATAACCGTGTTAAATGATGAGACTGCGCCTCTCTCTTGCTTGAACTGTACAAGGCTGAGGTTGGCTTGTCTACCATACTCCAGGACGGTGTAGAATTCTGCAGAGAACTTGACAGGCCGAATACGGGGGACTATATGACAGTCAGGATACCAGTATGGGCAATGAGAAATGGGTTTGTTTCGTACAGTTAACTTTGGCAACTTTGCCGTGTATGATGCCATGAGCTTTGTCCAACTGGACTTCCATGCCGTACGGCGTCCATTCCCACAATATCTTGTACATCTCTTTTCGCGCATCCGTTTTCGACGCATTGAGTGCTAGTGCCCTTGTAGCAGGGGTGAATTGGAACATGCGTGCAAACCAATTTACGCTCGTCCGCGAGCCTCTTGGTCTTCGTGGAAGAGGCTTATCGGCGTTGCTCGAGCTACCAGGTTCCGTGGAACCGGTGAGTATAGGTGTTGTTTCCGTATTTTGAGGGTCTAGTAAGCAGTTGTCAGGTACAGTATGTATGAGGTGAGGGTTGTAATACGAACCTGTTGGAGGGTAGCTACACTTGCTTCCTTTCATCCTCATGAACTTCCTGAAGAAGCCTACCTTGTCCTTCCCTGGAGTGTCCAGTCGGGTCTTTTCCGAGTCTTCGGGGTGGATTGTTGGATTGCCTACTTCGTGTACAATGATGGTTCCATTGCTCGGGTGTACATGCTTTGCATCCTTGTTGGCAGATTCTGTGGAAATGTTGGACTTTATAGGTAGCCATGACCACTTTTTGTTCTCGGGGTACCTTGTTGCAGAGCGTTTCTCTGACTTTGGCGGGATTTCTGCAATAGGATCAAGCTCACAAGGGCTGCGAGAGTTGCGGGAATTGAGAGAGGAGAATCTGGAGGCAGCAATCTTTTCTCCATCGGGTGGAGCTTGTTTGCCCGTAGGTGAATTTTGATCTTCAAGAGTGGCTTCTTGGCTTCTCTTGCGGATTGTCAAAGGCCTAACGGTGTCTATCGATTGCAAGGAACTTTGAGGGACCATTCGAACTGTCCTTAGACCATCTCGGCTGACGCATCCTGAGTTCGGGCTAATGGTCGTCGGTTGGACAACCTTTTGATACGATTTACAATAGACATGTCTGATATTCGGACCGTTGTTCTGTTCCTCCGATATCATTGGCAGGGAGCCAGGTTCCTGCGAGGATTGAGCAGGTTGTTCCGCCGGCACATAAGCGCCCTCGTCACTATCGTATCGTTCACGCTGCCTGATCTTGTCTTGTTCAATTAAACGATCAAGATGATTTATCACAGCTACAAGGTAGTCTGGGACGTCCTCAGAGCCATCATGAGTGGAGTGGGCAATGAGTTTGCGTCGCGTTTCGGCCAGCTCCGCGGCAGTATAAGATCTTGGTGACCCTCCACATCGTGGTGTTCCTGAGCCTTTCCCGGTGCTGCCTGTAATTTTACTCTGTGATGCTTCAGGACTAGCCATTGACATTGACGTCGCAGGGGTCTCTGAGCTCATGCATGTGCTTGTCGTCGTACAGCCTGTTGACAAGGAGCCACCATTAAATGCCTCCTCACACATCTGGCTAAGTTCATGCGAGACCTGTCGTGCATCCTCCTTCCAAATAATGTCCGACTCGCGCACCTTTTTGTGCGGCGTGCATGTCTTTAGCGCAACACCAGCCCCCCGGACCACAGCTGGCTGGGCAGGCAATAGCGGACTACTTTCCCGCTCAGCAAATGGACCAACATCTATAGACTCCAAACTATCTTCGCTCACATCCTTATCAAGGACATTCGCTGGAGTACCCTTCGCTTTGACAATTGCTGATCCCTGCGAACGGTTTCTCGCATGCTTGAAACAAACATTTCGCTTGTAGCTTGCGGACCGAGGTGTAGTCGTACCGTGGCGGTGCCGACGGGTGCCCGTGTGTGAGGTCTTGGATTGAAAGGATTTGACGGAGTTCAGCTTCTTTTTGTTCCGTACTACCGTAAAAGGAGAGCTCGGAGGGCAGTCAATCTCATCTTCGAAGCCTTCTTCAGACATAGTACTGGCCGCTCTAGTTCCTTCTGGCTCTTGACCTTTGTTTTCATTCTCAGGGCCATGTCTATGTATCGTGATTTGAGCATATTCGGCTTCTTTCTCGGACACAACAAGGCATCGAGAGCGGAACGGGTCGTAGCTTTGAACAGAAGCACATGATTTAGTTTCTTGTATCGGACTGCTCCTTAGATGAGCATTTCTAGCCATGGGTACCTGCCCACGCCGTCGAGATCCCCGTGAACGACCATTATTCCGCTGGCTCGACGGCCAGTTCGGGCCTCGCGACATGTGATGATAGTCACTAGCAGAGTACTCAAGATACTGGCCTTGATAGTTCTCGCGATTCTCATTTCTAAACCTGATCAAAGCGTTGTAGAACATCCTTTCGTGAGTTGGTCTATTATACATCGTGTCAGTTATGCAGAAAGATAACCAACCAGACATTGGGGACTATTTGGTAGTAAGTATTACTCACTCTGGATTCAAGATTCTTTTAATCAGCGTCTCCCGTTTTACATCATGCCACAACGTTTGCAAGTTTCTCAAAATCTCATCGTCAATATGTTCTCTGCTGTTAAGGGCTGGGCCACACTCCTTTACAGACAAAGGTGGCGCAGGGCCTATACAAGGATTAGATAATACTGGGTCCAAGCATGCGTACTTCCTCATCAGTGGATGCATCCATATTTCCCGCATGGCAATTCGATCTTCTGGCCTTTTCTGAAGGATCTGGTAGATTAGGTCCGCAGCTTCATCGCTGAGATGATCAGGAATCTCGACTTTAGCCGTCCTCACCAACCGTAGTGTGGTACTCAGATCACTCCCATCAAATGGCAAATAACCTGTCAGCAAAGCGAACAGAATTATACCACAACTCCATAGATCCGCCTTGTCACCGCGATAATCCCGACCTTTTATGATTTCGGGAGCAGCGTAATGTGGACTTCCGCACGACGTCTTAAGCCAATGACCGGCCGGTTGAAGAGCGGCCATTCCAAAGTCAGCAAGCTTCACATTGTGTTGTGAGTCTAGAAGAATATTCTCCGGCTTGAGGTCTCTGTGGCAAATATTGAAGCGATGGCAGTACCCAAGACCAGCAATAATCTGTCGAAATAACTTCACTGCCTCGAATTCCTGCAGCGGTCCATATTTGGATAGATAATTGAACAACTCCCCACCTTCGACATACTCGAGAACAAGATATCTGTGAACTATTAGCACTGCTTAAGGTACGACTCGATATCCACCTACAATTCTCCTCTATTCTCCCACACATCGTACAAACGGACAACGTTTGGGTGTTCGATAAGTTTCATGATGACAACCTCCCGCTCGATTCCAGATGGCATTTGTCTCACCCCTGGCTTACTGAGAAAGCCAATATTCCGGTCCATTGCTGCAATACTATCACTCTGGGCCATCGCAGCAGACCTCTTCGACACGATCTTTATTGCCGCAGTTTGTCCAGTCGTCGTATGTTTGGCTAATCGCACCCGGCCCGTCGCGCCCTCTCCGAGGTTCTTGCCGAGTTGCCATGGCCCGACATGAGTTTTGCGCTTTCCCTGGTTTAAAACGATTGAGTCTGCTGAAACAGTTGAATTTCGCTTGGATCCTGCCTTCGAATTTGATGTCGGCGAGAGGCAATTGTTATCCGCATGACCTTTCTGAGAAAGCGGACTGGTAACGATGGACATTGGTTGCGGCGAGGTCAAGTATTGTTGGTCCCCCATTGGTCCCCCCTCTTGTACTAATCTCGTGCTTGGGCAATTGTTGACTCTACTACTAACATCGACAAGAGGCGGACGTGTGGACTGCGGACTAGGAGGGATAGCCTTCTGGTCCATTGCCATGTAACCGCAGGCTAACACGACAGGTGACTATAGTTACAGCCAGACCACATAGGGAAACGTTGATTTGTTGTCAATACGCTGGACACCGTGTTAGACAGTAAGTCTGCATGAAGAATGGCTATCGTCAGATAACTGATCTCGACTCACGTTGGCAAAGAGAAAGGTGGTTGACCCAACAGGACAATCGCCAGAGATTTAGTAAGATACCAAAAGACACTCTTCTGCTTTCAAGAAGGCCCCCTTATTCAAACAAAAGACCGGATTTTCGAAACCGAAACGCTAGCGGATGTGTATGGTCGTGTTTTGGCCTGCCCTGGGTTAGTAGTGCTAGACTGTACTTCAAGTAGCGATCAGCGAATGTATAGGTAAGAAGCGTGGCGTATATCGCGGGCAGTAGGCCTTCTGGTTGTTGCTGTCTTCGCGATGCGTAAAGAATTAGAGAAAGACAACAAATGAGACTTGGGCAGGCCAGGGTAATTTCCACTGTAAGATTTCCACCGAGCATAGCCAAACCCACACATAGCAAACATGGCATACTAGTTGGACTTGAGCATACCAAGTTGAGGTCAAACTCGGTGTGTGGAATGAGAATTAAGATGTTTGTTTCCTTTGGATTCCCAAGGTCTCCCCGGCACCAGCACTCGGGAATGTACTACTTTACCCATGTTTTACAGCGGAGCATGTCCAACTAGGACTTAAATAACACACGAACTTTAGATATCCCAGGTGGGATTTCCTTGGATTACCGTGTACTCGATGGGGCGCGAAAGTGAATTTTGATATACCATGCATGATGAATGAATACTGTGAATAGCGGGAGTGGACGCTGATGGTACCAACGTATCCCTTGCTATCTAGGAAGACTCCACCTGGGATACACTCACTCTACAGATGATAGGGTATGCTAGTCAACCCACAGGAGTTGCTGGTTGTGCTCTCATTCCTCTCTTTTTGACTTTACAGAAGGGTTGTGAACTCGACAACTATCACATTAACCCCACTAAGTGTCGAGGCATATGACTTCCGTTCTAAAAAATACCACCCTGGATTGCAAAATACCAGCATTAGAGTTGAGGAGGGGGAAGGGTTATGAATCAAGGGAGGGCATTTGGCTAACCCATTCCGCGAATTAAGACATTCTGGGTATGATTATCATCTACTGTGAGTTTCCACAGATTTGCAAAAGCGGTTAACATTATCGTGTCCACAGAGGAAATTGCGTCAAGTCGGTATACCGGGTTGAGACAGTTGAGACTCAGACATACATGTGCTTTGTGACATGCGGGCGAACATAAAGGGTTAATGCCAGAGTTCACTCGGCATGACACATGTATGGGTATGCAGCATTTCATTGTCGCGCAGCAGATAAAATTCAATTATGCATTGGTAGTGTTATGGCTAAGATGTAGGCCATCACCAATGTTCCTCGCTAATCACAGCTTCTTCCACGTCAACACCATCAACAAACCATCTCCCTTCCCCATTCCCGTCAGGCCCCAGAATTAGATCGTTGCCACTCATCATTCTCTTTCGCATCTTCCCGGTTTCCCGATCAAAGGTCCAGTCCTCGAGTCCATAGCAGCGCTTCCAGCGCATTCCATCTTCAGCATCCTGATATTCGTACCAGAACTGCACTGCGATGCGGTCATCGGTGAAGGAAAACAGCTCCTTTCGGAGCTTGTAATTGGCTTCACGATTCCATTTCGCTGTTAAGAAAGAGATAATATTGTCTGTTCCAGTGAAGAACGAAGTACGATTACGCCAAACACAGTTTGGCGTATAAGCTTGAGCGACGCGCACTGGATCTCTAGTTCACATTGTGAGTACAACTTAGTCGACTTTTTAATAGAATGCGAATGAAACATGAGAAAGACCATGAAGGGGAAAGCAGAATACAACCATAGTGGGGACAGAGAGGAATTAGATCCCACGAGGTAGTTGCATAATTGCGAGCAAGGGGTGAAACATTATATAACAATGGCATGAGGGATAACTTCAACCCGCCATGCCAGTTCCAATGCACAAACAGCACGGAATGCTTGAAGGGAAATAAATCCAAGCACCAGGCACTATCGAGCAAGGTCGATCATTGATATTAGAACATGTATTGGGGGTATTCTCACTGGGTGTTCCACAAGTTCTGTGCTGCTTTGACTTTCTTTCTCGCCGACTCCTCGGTGAATGGTGGTTTGATGTCAGCCATTTTGATAGCGCACGATCTCCCTAGCTATTAGATCCTTCCTCAACAGTTTGTATGTACAACGCTGGATTATCTCACTCTCCATTGTTAGTCCAGGACGCGGGGCATATATATAAGCATTGTCACGTGTCTGGCCTTATGCAAGTTACCAATTAGCGCCGACTTTACATACGTGCAATTAAAGTGGGGATGCTCTGTGACAGCTTTCGGCCGATACATAGAGTTCGGGATCTGGTTTATAGTGTATGTCAGAACCACGCAGGGCATACGGTACCTCGATAACCGTGTAATAATGACGCGAGCGTACAGGTAATATGAAATGCTCATTCATACATATGTACCGGAGTTCCTAGGTAGATTGAAGTCTTTCCCTTCCGTTTAGTGCTCACCCCTCGCCGCTTTTGCTCACTGAGTATACCTGAGCACGCTGCCCTGAGTGCCCTGAGCGGATCAGGGGCTGAGTAGAGGGGTGAGAAGCCCGAGTAAGGTAGCCTCAATAGAATACGCCCCGCTAGAGACTTTACTAGTCTCTAATTTTCTTTATAGTGCTTTTGGCCGTCATCTCTTTTACCCACTCAACAAGGAGATGGCATCATCAATGAACGGGGAATTACGGTCATCATTCCTTCTGCTCCATCTACGGAGCAAAGCTTTCAGGCGTGGATTAGTCCGACTGACCTCTTTCTTTCCTTCATTCGCTGCCTATATATTCATTATCACAGATTTCTGAATCAGCGGCTATCTACTATCGAACGGGTAAACTATATTAAGTCTAATAGATTAATCTGCTATATTTTAAAGGATAACTTGGTTTTAACTAATCTATATACTTTCTAAATGTGACTTTTGATTAGTTTGATACCTTCCTGGCAATTGCGCTTCTATCTACACCAAGAAATAGCTAGCACCGATTTCTAGGGGACCGTGTGAACCTGTATTATCTAGTATAGGAGTGTAAAGGTTCCGATAACGAATTGACCCGGTTCCGGCATAGCCTCACTATCCGCGGATCCTGAGTCTACTTGCGTGAGAACAGTTATCCTATAGCCGCCGACCCGTCTGTATAAAAATGGCAGTCTGGTAAAGGACTAGATGTTAGAGTAACCGCTGTCAGCTAATAAACTGGCGAAAGGTCAAGGGATATGTAATACTACCGGGAAAAGAATAGCCCGAACCGAGAATGTTGTTAAGGAAAATATACATACTGAGTATATATAGTATACCCCAAAGATATACTGAATATATAGATCGAGGTTAATGTTAAGCTGTTTGTTGAGAGTTGCTCTCTCGGTGTCATCCAGCTCTGGTAGGGCGTTGGTATTATTACGTTCGATTTCAGCTCTCGGAGTAGAGCTTTCAGATTCTGGCAAAACCATTGTGGGCTTTGACGCGTTATTGAAGGAGTAGAAGATCGATCGTCATGTAAGTTGGATGTTGGCGAGGGGAAACGTCCGCAGCTCTGATATTGTTGAGAGGTCACCTGATAAACGTGCCAGAAATTCCTATGTAGCCATGAGAAGTTGTTCGTGATTACAGAGCTGTAAACTATGTGCAACATTTTCTCCGAGCCAGATATCTTCTCATTCTTACGACACGGGTTATGGAAACACAAAACTACTGGGGACGGAAGACAACAAAGAGCCGATTAAATGCAGAGAGGAAAATAAGAAAAGTTGTATATAAGTTCAGCCTTGAGCGTGTACCAACCCTATGGCGCGTAGCAGACCTCATTGCCACTGTACCGGCTCTGTATATAGTAGCTGGTTGACAAGACAGGTTAGAAAGAGAAGCAGTGGTTGGGGTAGAAACAGGTAAAATGAGAGATTTTTACTGGGTGAAAGAAGGCCCGTCTCTACCACCTGAAAATCTTGTGTTACACACCACGTGGGAGGTGAATACTAGGAATCTGAGATTCAGTGGACCTTCTTCCAACACCATACGAAAATGACCGACAAGGCAGGCATTCCGACTATGGTCTGCAACCCTTATGGAAGTGTTTGAGAACCCTACTATTGAGAAGAAGGTTATGGAAGATCTCTGCTCTTATTTATCTTCCGCTGGATGCATTGAGGATAGTACGATATCAACACAGAAGAGGGAGTGGCGGGCTTTAAAGACTTATGCTGGATGGCTTTCGCGCCATATCAAGCTCCTTAATGAGCATTATGAATACATCCGTTGCCCTTCGAATGCGCGGAGGCAACCGCTGAGGATCGAGAGACCGATCGTTTACTTGCCAAGTCCTTCTACCGTCCTATTCTTCACACAGTCTGGATAAAATATGGGATGGAGCTAATGGAAACTGCTCTGTTCCGCTACGTGCCTCCCCGTATCGCTGAGCACCCTGAAGTACTTGAGGACGATCCCAAGTTTACTAAAATCTTCTATCCTCTTTTATCCTTGCACTCCGATTTGATGACATGTGAGATAAAGACGACGCTTTTTAATAGAATAAATCTCAGCCACTAGTGTTAGATCTGGACTGCTTATAAAAAGTTTTTACAGTATGCAGGCTATAGGCTGTTGTATATTTGCCTTGTCCGATAATCCACAGTTAAACGAGAGAGATTAGTATTTTAGCAATATCCGCTTCTATATACTCTTTCCCTATTTTTATTATTTTATCGAGTTATAAAGATAAAAATTGAGCACATTATAGCATCTATTATTTAAGGTGGATCTCCACCCGAAAGACAAAGGGGCTGATCTGTTTTTACTTACCATCTAACTCTCTTGTAGCTCAGGAATATATGACGATTTTTGAATATGTGGAGAGGCGGGTATTTATTCAAATCTATTACAAGAAAATAATATAAGATACCCAATAATTGTCTAAGTTAATAGTTAATCATCATAGCAATAACTGTCAATACCACATCTCCTAATTCCGAAATAGTGGTCCTTTTGGTTGACACCCCATCAACTTTCTACCTGCGTCATCCTGTATTGTGTTGGTACAGACTTTGGACAAACTTGAGGGCTGTTCATCACATAGCTGTTGAACTACCCGCACCGAATAAAGGGCGGGTGAGCAGCTCAGTAAGCCACGTGACTGCTCACTGAACGGTGATGTGGGAATACTCACTGAGCAAGCCACTGAATACCCTCAATAAAGCGGCGGCGTCCAAAACAGAAAAGCTAAGGGCATTCTAGAAAATCCGGTACGTATAGGTGCATATATCTTTATCTCTGGCGAAAGTTATCATGAACACATGACATCATAGTACTAAGGGATCGTCTATGGCGGCACAAGACTCACAGAACTGTATTCCCTTTTATTTCCATGTAAGTTGAATCACGAAGGACTAATGTTAAGTTTCAAATAGCCTAAGAAGCACACTATAGCTCTCGTGAAAAAAATGGAAGTAGTGGATTTTCCTAGATAACTTCATTGGTATTTTAATTATATCATTCTAATTATATCCTAGTGTCGATAGTTATCTTTATGTGCATTAAGAGGTGTGAGCAAATCTATATCAGAAAATACACACAAGTATAAAGATATATATATGCATATGCTAAGTCATTTGCGAACCACAAGGGTCTTCACTAATCTAGGGGCTTTACTAAATTAAGGTCACTACCAACAAAGCTCCTACAGGTAAACTGTATTTAATGATATGTGAATTTTAACCATATGGCGTCAGCCCCTATGCAAATTTCAGCTTCGAGATCCTTATATTTTTCGAAGTCGTCAACACAATTCTGATCGACAATCGTTCCAGGATGCCCAGATAAGGAAGCCGTCCTTGTTTCTAGAACATTTCTGATATGTAAGCGAGAATAAGGCTAACGTTATTTATTCGCTCATTCCTTAGGTAAGCGCTGAGATTTGGAAGGGTAACTTACCTGAACTTTGGTAATTAATCATATAATTTGAGGCGACGAATGATCTGAATCTGACCCCCTCCTAAGCCGAGCTTTCCCCTGATGGAACTCCCAGGAGTAGTTGGACGAATCTTATCAGATCTTTCTTTCTCGGTGTACTTTCCGTATCCCCCGAGGATCACTCAAAAGTCACTCTGATCTTAGTGGCAAGTCGGCCAAACTGAAATTTACTTTGTACCGGACTTGCTATAGCATCGGTAATCAATGAACCAGTAAAGTAGAACCAAATTTCTAGGATCAAAAGCCAGGGGAAACAAAGGAAAGAGTCATTGCCAGACCACGCCACTCCCTTGTACACCAGTCACGTGTAAGTGAGGGGCAAGGTGTGATTTCAATAGGACGGAGTAGGCGGTGAAAGTCGGAGATATCAAGGTCCTTTTTTTTTTTTTTGCGATGCAATAGCCGCCTCGGAAAGCGAGACTGAGAAGATTTTTAGATAAGGAAAAAGGCTACCGAACTGGTTGCTACGCATTGAGGGTATGGCCATGATTGGTTCAAGATTGGCCTTTTAGATCCACCTTCTTCGCCATTGAGACACGAACAGTCATCATCTCAGGAGTCCATCAACTCATCATTGAGGGTCATGGAATACAGGACCAGACCGGTTAAGCCGATTCAGTGCATAAAGAATGGCATTTCAGCTCAATGACTTCACTGACAATCGAAAGATTTGTCAACGCATACGGAGTGAGTGCAGACTAATACGTACCTTAGTAACTATGAGTAAAGGGTAGTGGGGGGACTGGCGGGGCATTTCAGTCTCGGGCGGTCTTCTTGATAATACAGCACACCAAAGCCCTCACCAATCGAAAAGTTTCGGTATCCTTCTGGTTTGGATCACCATAGGTGCCTCTCACGGCCCGTGGGACGCCATTTCCGAAGCAGCCATATATTAACCGCCACATGCGCCTGCCCCTCGCTCCTTCTCCTAACTTTCCACATCCCACAATTTATAAATAAATACCTTTTTCCCATCCACAACTATCTATTCTTTTCAATCACCAACCAATATACCACACCAAACCAACCAATATGTCTGGAATCAAGGCTGGTGACAGCTTCCCCTCCGACGTTGTCTTCTCGTAGGTTCCTCATTCACTTGGAATCATCCTTCTACGGTGCTGTCGTACTAATTATGCTCCCAAAGCTACATCCCCTACACCCCCGAGGCTCAGGAGTTTAACGCTTGCGGTATCCCCATCAACTACAACGCCTCTAAGGAGTGGGCCGACAAGAAGGTCATCCTCTTCGCTCTTCCCGGTGCTTTCACCCCAGTCTGCTCTGCTCGCCACGTCCCCGAGTACCAGGAGAAGCTCCCAGAGATCCGCGAGAAGGGTGTCGATGTCGTCGCTGTCCTTGCTTACAACGATGCCTACGTCATGAGCGCCTGGGCTAAGGCCAACAACGTTAAGAACGATGACATCGTATGTCAACCAATCCTACCACGCTTTCTGTTTTTGCAGCTGAATCCTTTTGCTGACTGACTTTGTAGCTTTTCCTTTCCGACCCTGATGCCAAGTTCTCCAAGAGCATCGGCTGGGCTGATGAGGAGGGCCGCACCAAGCGCTACGCCATCGTCATTGACCACGGCAAGGTCACCTACGCTGCTCTTGAGCCCGCCAAGAACCACCTTGAAGTGAGTTATCATGAACCACCAGCCATTGAACTGTCTCCTGAAACATATGCTAACTATTTCCTCAGTTCTCGAGGGCCGAGACCGTCATCAAGCACCTGTAAATGCGTCCACAGCAGCACTAATATGACGATAGTTTAATAGAGGCCGCTGGTGTACCAGTGGTGGGGTTAATGTTTTTAGAATTAGACAACCCACTTTAGAAATACAATAAATAACGAAGCTTATGAAAACATGAACATTGTTCCTTGTCCGTAGTATGATGTCAGTCAATAACCTTGAGTCGTGTAGTCGAACTAGCTAGTTCTATTACCCCGGTCTCCAAAAGATCTACGTTGAGATCAAAGCGTCGTTGGGACTTTTTCCTTGTCTTCGCTGTCTATCATTGGTGTGGTGCCTTGGGTGGCTTTCGGCCGGGAAGAGTGACGCGCTAAAGCTTTCCCGAGCACCTTGCCTTACAATTTTAATCCCGGGCGACATACTACTATAATTTAACGGTCAAGGATTGTTATTACGACACCTTTTTTCTTCTTTTATTTTCCTTCTTTCTTGAATTTAGCTTTTCCCTCTATTAAGCCTTCTTCATTGGCCACAATGGCCCTGAACCCTGCGTCGAAGCGCAAGACCGCCTACCCAGGCGCACAAAATAGCTCCGCAGCAACTCGGAAGCGCGCCAAAACGTTCGATGCCCGTACTCTTGCTGCCCAGTCCGCGGAATCCGCTCTATCTGCATCCGGAGAACTTAATGTCGCTGCTTATCTCGAAGCTCGGGAATTTGAAATCCGCGCCCTGGAGTCGGGTATGCAGCGATCGAAAGCTGCCCTGACAAGTCGCGCGTTCCAGCAAGTACCTCGATCGTTGAGGAGAAGAACGGCCAGTCACAATGTAAAGAGAGTACCAAGCAGGTTAAGGACAAGGGCGAAGAGAGAGGTAAGCTATAAACCATTACAATCGCTTCAGGAACTGGATGGCCCCCAGCGAGTGCTGAGAGAAGCTTTATGGATGTTTCCGCTAAGCCAGCTACGATTTGAATAGATGGCTGAAGATAACACACCAACCGTGACGGCCCGTCGGAGGAAACCAACAGAGCTCATGCGCATCCGCCTCGAGACCGCGAGACGTCTCCAAAACCTCAACTCCAAGACCAAAGCTAAGAGAGCCCATTCGAAAGCGAAGCGCGATAAAGAAGACCGGATGGTGTTGGAAGAGTCAGGCAGTCATTCCTGTGATATTGCCCCGCGTGTTCCTAAAATCAAGAAAAACAAGCTCTCGCGCCCACATACGCCGGAATCGAAATTTAAGAAGCGCCAAAGATGTAAGACGTGGCTCCCTACGCACATGTTTCATGCAAAACGGGCCCACATGACTACGTCTAGAAATCCTTTGTGGCGGTTTGCCATTCCTTTGTCGCCGACTGAGAAGAGCTATCGGCCCTCCCATCGGGCGAAGGGTGCTAGGGGCGCTGTGGCTTGGGATATGAGCTATATGTCTACCATTCAGCTTGAGGGCACAGATGGCGCCTTAGAAAGCGTTTTGAGGGCGGTTGGTGTTGATGGACAAGATGTATGGGGTCCAAAAGGCAAAAAATGGAGAGCCGGAACGAGAAGTCTGCAAGTGTGGACTTATGGGCGTGATGACCAGCGGAAGCCAATTGCGCCGGTTACCTTGATTCGATGTGCTGAGGGAAAGTCGGGAGACGTTGAAATGATGGATAATACTAACTCTACGAAAAACAAAAAAGCCAAGAAGAATATGAAGAAGCTTTTTATCAGAGTGCACCCGTCCGCATTCTTACAGCTGTGGAATGAGTTACTCGAGGTTTCGAAGAGACAGAATCCTCCTGTTATGGTTGAGGACCTTCGTTTCGAGATTGGCAGCATTGATATTACAGGCCCGGGCTCTACTGAAGCTTTAATTTCGGTGTTGAGGCCGGTCAAGCCGAAAGGAAACGATGAATCATCGGATAGCCCAGACGCTATTTGGAATTCTCTGCTGGGTGTTTCAAACCCTTCATCTCTCCCGCAGAATGCCCTCCTTGCATTTTCCGTTTCTGATCCTCGCCTTCATTTCCCACATAAGACAATGAAGCCTCCTTTCTCTGACGCAGCGATGCAAGACTTGGCTATCACCTTGTCATCCTGGGCCCCTGATCATACGCAAACAGCACCTTCTATCTTCGACCGTCGCGCTCGCTTAGCTGCTGTACGCCAACTGCCGAGCCAAAAATCTATCAACCGGCGACGTACTGACGCTGGGCCTGGTTGTCTACCAGCACATCAAGATTCTGACCCGCAGATTCCAGCTATGCTTCTTGCAACTCGGCCCAGATCCCAGTCGAAAGATAGCAACGCTCCTGGAAGTTGGACTGTCCTCCTCCCCTGGAAGTGCGTCCTTCCCGTGTGGTACGCGTTAATGTATTATCCACTCTCAAGCGGCGGAAATCCGAGATTCGGTGGCTTGAAAGAGCTGCAACAGCTTGCCTTTGAAGCGGGAGAACCCTGGTTCCCTGGCGATTTCCCTGGCACACGTGCTGGTTGGGAATGGGGGCTAAGTGAGCGCGAACAGGCAAAGAAGGAATGGGAGCGACGACCTAAAGGTCGGAGAGTTGAATTCGACAGCCTTGATCTAGGAGCTGGTCAGAAGGGCGAGATTGGGCGAGGTTGGGCATGTGACTGGGAGAAGCTCGTTCAGGGCGAGAGAGCTCCAGGTGTCAGTAAGGCAAATAAAAAAGTAAAAGTCTCCAAGGCAGAGACGAAATCTACCACACCGCAAGATGAGGAAGCCCTTGCGGATGTTAGCCCGCCGCAGATCATTCATCACTTACAATCTGCCCAGGCTGGTCGTGCAATCAAGGACAAGAACCCTAGTATTGACAATTCAGCTCTTGCGACAGTGAGAGTATCCTTAGTGAGCCGAGGTATTCCTACGCCTCGATCTCGGATTTACCGTCTACCTACCACTAATCAAGAACTCCGTCAAAAATGGCTTTGTGAATCAGCTAAGCCGACCAGAGGGACTGATATCAATACACCTGCCCGAACATCTCCTGTCACTAGTGAAGGCCCTCAGCAGCAACGCCTCGCTGCATCTCTTCTATCGGCTCAATCCAGTACAGATGCCCATCAAGAGCACTTGCCTCTCCCATCGGAAGAAGATCTTATTGGCTTTGTGACAACAGGAAACTTCAATCTCTCTGCTGGGAAGGGCACGGGAATTGGCTCGATACAATTGTCGAAGGTTACCCAAGCATCTCTTGGACAGTACAAGGCTAGGGAAAGGACCATGTGCATTATCCGGGGTGCAGGTGAGAGGGTAGGAAGACTGGGTTATTGGGAGCTTGCTTGAATGTATGGGTTATGTAGTCATTAACGGCTATGTCGCATAGCAAATGATACCCGGGATTCTTTTCTTTGTTCAACCATTTTACCGGACGTGTTTTTCCTCTCTTTTGCTTGTATAGCCAAATTACTCCCTACTTGAAGAGTAGAGCATTACATCACATCATGACAGACTGCCGAAGTATTTAGCTTGCTTACTATTAAGCAGGTTTAAAAGCCCACAAACAACTTGCGCGCAGAATGCTCAGTTCTGCTACCGGATAAAAACATAAAAAATGCCCACTAAGGCCCTGATGTATTTTCGCTCAAGGGGTCAGATAATCCATGCAAGTGATGGTCACAGCGTTAGCCTAATCCTGGTACATAGAGGAACATACACACAACATAATGCGAGGAATCTATTGTTAAGCAGCACACAAAGTTTTCTCTTCCATCTTCTAACACCATCACCCTAACCAACAACTCGGTCTACGAACGACTCCTCAAGCTTAGCGACCTCCCTCTTAAACGCATCAACCTCCTGCCAGCAATCCAAGGGCCGTCGGTCATTCAAGCGCAAGCAGCTCACAACATTCGCCTTGGCCTTCTCAACGCTCTCATCAATCTCAACCAACTTCCTCCGACCTTCAAGCTTAGCCCGCAGTTCCTCGATTTCGGTGTTCACTGATTCACGAGACACATCACGGTTGATGGGCTGCGCATCAACAACAGGGGCAGGGGTGTATTCGCGGCCCGCAAAGGGGATCCGGGGAGCGTCCAGGTTCAGCGAGCCAGGGGGGTAGCTGACATTTGGTGTGGGAGAGGACGATGAAGGTGCATTATCTTTGGATTCCGCAATGCGCTTTTCAAGCTCGGCAAGGGTTTGCTGCTCGCGTGCGCGGAGACGTTCGAGCTCTTGGGCTACGCGGGCTTGAATCTGAAGTTCGATACTCTTTGAGCGGGAGGAATCCGTCTGTCACGGTTAGTAACTGTTGCCAATTGGTTTGTTTTCGCGCTGTTCTCTTGAAGGTACGTATACATACCTCGGTGCTGGTTTGAAGGGAGTCGACAAGTTTGGAGGAGAACTCGACGGGGCTACCACTAAAGACAAAACATTAATGTCAGCGTGCTTAATCCAAGGCCGCATTGTATTTGAAACCCTCCCCCTCTGTTTTCCAGTGAACTCTAACCACTACCCGGCGTTAAATGTTCTTACCCATTTAACGTACGAATAATGTCCGTCTCTTCCTCCCCTTATAACTAGTACCGGTAGAAAATCACCCAAAGTACAATTGATTGATAGCATGGATGCAAACGTACCTCGAAAAAACATGTTTCGAGCCTGCCGAAGCGTCAGGCTTGGAGCTACCGGCGCCCATTATGTATTTAATTAACGGAAATTGTTCCTTTCCCTTGAGTCTTTAGAGCAAAAGGAGTAATTAACACTTTTCGGTACCTGAATAATAGCTCCAAATAGACACCGGGAAGACAGCGGAGACAGCAGGGCCTGGGCAATTCCAAGGTCGTCAGAGGGAGTTCACATATGGCCGCTTGACGCAGCAGCCGACTTCCGCCGGTGTTTGTCACGTGATGATTAGTCACTATTAGCCTTGTTTGCTTGTGTCCGGAAGTGATCCATTGAGTCTTGTGCTTGTGTACAGTTTGGATTTTTTTTTTGTTTTTGCCCCATCTCTTCTTATTCCGTGTTTATTTGTGTTCCCAATGTGGATCTAGACACGTTGTTTTAGCGTGCTGTCTACTGTTAAACTCCTCGATTGGCCAGTTGATAGGATCACAATGTAACCTTTGGGATTTATGAAAACTGAAGTGACCATTTGTCCCGTGTTGGGTAGTACCCGTGGACAACAAGATGTATGTGCTATTAGGCAGTTGAAGGGAGCCGCAGAGAATCCAAATCAAGAAGTAGTGTATTATAGGATCAGGCTATGAAGTGTAGCATGATCAGGATTGCCACCACCGGCTAAAACATGTTCTTTCTGATGGCAGGAAACGCCGGAGATTGAACATTTTGGCAGGTATACTTAGAAATACAAAGTGTTCATACAGGAGGATTGGTTCACTTTCTATTCGAGAGTTATGATTTGCTCAGATTTCCGACAAAAAGGGCTGCTTTATTTCAATACTAAAGGAGGGTAATACTTGAGAAACTCTACCAGGTACTTCCCCACCTTCTGTCACCTTACTAACCAGCCTGCATGTCAGCCTCTCCAAATGTCACCCCAGACTAGTACTCCATACGGAGAACGCTCAAAGCTGGGTGTGATAAGGCCATTCTTGTACTATACCACACTTCGTCAGTAGCGTCCTTCTCGTCTATTGCACCACCAATGAAGACAGCTCCTCTCTTTCCGTGTCTTCCCTATGTCTATACGCGGTCCTAACCATTGTTTCTCACCGGTGAAAACCCCCCACACGGTTTCGTAGCGTCATGGAACGGGTTCGCTGCCATTAAGGCTTCCATTTGGATCCATGCCATGCGATACTAAGACAGATCTATTGGGGTCCGAAACATTCGGGAAAAATGTGAAATGATTCCAGGGTCTCTATGAATAGAGAGGCCGGCGAACCCGGAGACCCCATTGGTTCAGACGCTTTAGATCCGAATCTGGCCCACAAACTGACCTCATCGACCCCTCTTCGTCACTTTCCCTACGTAAGTATTCTACGTTTAAATATTAGTATCGCTTGAATAAATACCTTGCCATATAATTTAAAGGAAGTAAATTTTCTCCCTTCCCCCCCGCCGCATTCGTCTACCCCTCCATACTTTTCATGCCAGTGTTGTTTCCCCTCTCAACCTCGCACCCTTCTATATTTTATCTTTAAATCATCTTTCTCAATCACCTTTTATTTTCCGATATCTCTTCACCTCCCCGATCCCATTTCACTCCCGCTTTCCACATGATGTCTCCCGCCTTGCTGGACGAAGCGGCGCGGATTGCCCGCCAGTTCGACTTCCCCGCCGAGGGGGTCCAGCGCGGGGTGAAAGAGTACATCCGTGAGATGGATGAAGGATTGAGCAAGGAGGGTACAACTTTGAGCCAAATCCCCACATTCGTCACCTCAGTACCAAATGGCACAGAGAAGGTATCACTCGATCCGCCAGATACACCACAATGGCATGTCTGACCTCGTTCCTATAGGGATTGTACCTAGCCGTAGATCTTGGCGGTACCAACTTTCGCGTGTGTTCAGTGGACCTACATGGCGATACCACCTTTTCTCTCACACAGTCTAAAATCATGATCCCTCGTGAATTGATGGCTTCCGGAACCTCCAAGGACCTTTTCCATTTTCTGGCTCGTCAGATCGAAGCTTTCCTACGTATTCACCATAACGAACACTTCGAAGCTCATCTCAAACGTCGACATGAAGGGAAAGGCGAAGAGGAACTATTTGATCTGGGCTTCACATTCAGCTTCCCCGTGCGCCAGGTGGGCATTAACAAGGGAACCCTCATTCGCTGGACGAAGGGCTTCAACATTCCCGATGCCGTAGGCCACGATGTCTGCGCTCTGCTGCAAAGTGCTCTCGATGATCTGGAACTCCCCGTGCGTGTGGCCGCTCTGGTTAATGATACAGTTGGGACCCTGATGGCCCGTTCATACACCTCTCCCGGTGAAACGGGAACCTTCCTCGGTGCCATTTTCGGTACGGGTACCAACGGCGCTTACGTCGAGAAGCTCGACAAGATCACCAAGATGGCCACCATCGAACACTCCGACTATGACAAGACAACTGGCGAAATGATTATTAACGCCGAATGGGGCAGCTTCGATAACCACTTGAGCGTCTTGCCCAACACTGTCTATGATCAACAGCTGGATGAAGAGAGTAACAACCCTGGAATCCAGATGTTCGAAAAGCGAGTCTCGGGAATGTTCCTCGGTGAGATTCTGCGCCGTGTCTTAATAGATTTGCACTGTAACGAGTCTCTTGGTCTGTTCAAATCCAGCGCCTCGTCCAATGTTGTTGTCCCAGAAAACTCCAACCTCTTCCGCCAGTGGGGCCTTGATACCAGCCTTCTGAGTTTGGTCGAAGCCGACAGCAGTGAAAGCATGGAGCCCACCAAGACGGCTTTGAAGGATCACTTGAAGATCGAACGGGCCAGCATCACGGATTGCAAAGCTGTTAAGACAATCGTGCACGCCATTGGCAAGCGTGCTGCCCGTCTGAGTGCCGTGCCTCTTGCTGCCACCCTCATCTCTACCAAGAAACTGGAGACCGATGATCTGGTGGACATTGGTGTCGACGGAAGCTTGGTCGAATTCTACCCTAACTTTGAGGGATACATACGCGATGCTTTACGCGAAGTGCCCGAGGTGGGCGCTGCCGGTGACAAGAAGGTGCGCATTGGTATCTCGAAGGATGGTAGCGGTGTCGGTGCGGCTTTGATTGCCCTCGTAGCTAGTAAGGAAGAAGCCAGGACCAAGGCCCAGTAGCGGTTGTATGGCTAACACTGCGCGATGATCTCAATTTTATTCCCCCGTTGTTATGCTTCATTTTGATTGAGTGCCCTCACCGGCGAAGACTACTTTATCTTCGCCTTTCCTACCCGCGGTCCATGCGAAGTAGGCCATGTGCTCGAATTTGCAGAGGGTACTTACTGCGAAAGGACCTGGAGTTAACGAGAATGGCTGGGAAAGAGGGTGTATCAATAATCTTTTCATGGCGTTATCTAGCATTCTCATGGAACACGGAAGCTATGTTACGAATATAAAACATTTCTACTTATGAATCCTTCTTCTCAGGTCGTAATGTTCACAAAGTTGTGCGCTTTAAGGACATCTGACCTACAACGTATAGTGTCAACACCCATGTCACCCGAGGCCGTCCATGTCTCCGGGGCGTGTGCGATGGTATCCCAGGCTTCATTGAAACAGACCCCCATTTACCGTATCCTAATTTTAGAGTTTTGCATTGGCTCTATGGAGGAAAGATTCGATACTTTATGCTCGTATATGGCTTTAATATAGGTCAGATGGGCCCTTGTCTTTATTCTTTGAATCGGCCAGTCTGGAGCCTAGATGCAGTAAGCTGCTTGCCATTGAACAGGTAGAATACCTTCTATAAAGACACGGGTCAATATTATACATCAGTGGCAGGACTAAGACCTTTCTTTGTTGTTTTTAGGGCTTCACAGGTCGTCTTTACGGACCTCGGAATCTATCCATTCCGCTGAAAGAGAAGAAGCGAATCACGACATGTATCTCATGATGAACAATTCCAAATCCAGCTGCAGGTTCCGAGATATGATTCCATGCACAAGAAGGGAATAAGGGAATATCCTTGTCCATGGCTCTCTTCGGTACACGGGAGTGTCTGATCCCGTCCACCACTGTCATCTTTAATGTCACACAAAGGCTGCCAAAAATGGAAATACTGCCTACACTTCCCTCCATTACGTTTTCTTTTTCTTTCATAGCCAACTCTGCCGATTGTGGCCCGGAAGGTTTCTGTCCCCCTTTTGAAACCACGTCTTATATCGCCTAGGTTACGCTCTCTCCCACCCTCTGTGCGGATCGTTTGTTGAAGTTTGGTTTGTTCTCCTTGCCTCTTAGATCTCAAAGACCTGTTTAAGCGATTTTTGGTCGTTCCTTCAACTTTCGTCCCTTCTCCTATCGGACCTTTCATACATTTCCTTAAGGCCCTGTTGCTATCCAGTCTCTATCTAAATTCTCTGAGCCGGCAGATAAAATGCCAGATGACCAGTCATCCTCCGTACCGCAAGAGACACCTACCTCACCAACACCGTCCAAATTGGTAACCGACAACCTACCCCGAGGGAGAAGATCTTCTACAGGGAAAGAGAGCACGCTTGTCGGCTCACACAGCGAATCAACGCCTGCTTTGGCACCAGATGCGAAGAATGAAGACAACATACCCAATGTGATCTCCAATCCTGATGATGAGTCGGAGGGAGAACAGGAGTATCCAAGTTCCTGGAAACTTGGCTTGATTACCATCGGACTGGCCCTTGCTATCTTTTGTTTGGCATTGGTAAATAATCTCATCGCCTGTCAATTATACACTGTTTTATACATGTCCACTCGTGCTAATGATCTCCCATATGCTTAGGATAACACTATTATCTCGACAGCGATTCCGAAGATTACGGATCAGTTCAAGTCCCTTGAAGACGTGGGCTGGTATGGCAGCGCTTATCTCCTGACAACGTGTGCCTTGTGTCTGATGTTCGGCAAACTATACTCGTTCTACTCCACAAAATGGGTCTACTTGACTGCTCTTCTTATTTTCGAGCTAGGCTCTCTGATATGTGGAGTCGCGCCAAACTCGTTAGGTCTAATAATTGGCCGTGCGATAGCTGGCTTCGGGTCAGCTGGCCTATTTTCCGGCGCACTCATTATCATTGCTCAGACGGTTCCGCTGAGTCGACGACCGATCTTCGCCGCAATGATGGGGTCGATGTATGGGGTTTCGAGCGTAGCCGGACCCTTGATGGGCGGTGCATTTACCGACCATCTCAGCTGGAGGTGGTGTTTCTATATCAACCTGCCTTTTGGCGGAGTGACCGCTCTCTTCATCTTTTTCTTATTTAAGGCGCCTAAGTCTGTCAAGGATAAAACCGGCTTCAAAAACCAGATGACGCAGCTAGATCTTCCTGGAACAATGCTTTTCATGCCGTCAATTATCTGTGTATTGCTCGCGCTGCAATGGGGAGGTACCACATATACCTGGAGTAACACTCGGATCATTGCACTTTTCATTGCTTTTGGGATCCTTCTTCTCTCATTTCTCGGCGTACAGTGGTGGCAGCAAGACAAAGCTACGATACCTCCAAGGCTTATCAAGAATCGGAATGTATGGGGCTCGGCACTGTACAGCTTCTGCATTGGTGCAGCGTTTTTCGTATTTATATACTATGTAAGTCCTACTTTATGCTGCCGCAAGAGCGTGTACTAATTTGTGCCTTCAACAGCTCCCCATTTGGTTCCAGGCCATAAAAGGTGTCTCAGCAACCAGATCAGGCATAATGAACCTCCCGTTACTCCTTCCTCTGATTGTGTCCTCCATTGCTGCTGGTGCTTGTGTCACCATGATTGGTTACTATACACCGTTCATGATCGCGACGCCAGTTCTCATGTCAGTCGGCGGTGGGCTCCTGAGCACGTTGAAAGTCGATTCAGGCGCCGCTGCATGGATTGGATATCAGGTTATATACGGAATTGGCGTAGGCATGGGAATGCAGCAACCCATGATTGTTGTCCAAACGGCTCTCCCGATTTCTGATGTCCCAACAGCGACGGCCCTAGTCATGTTTTGCCAAACGCTAGGAGGTGCGCTTTTTGTCTCCATTGCACAGAACGTCTTCCAAAACCAGCTGCGCAAGAACATCATTACTCAAGTCCCTGATGTTGACGTGGTCCAGGTAGTTAGTGCTGGGGCTACGATGCTGCGGCAGGCTGTACCGACGGACATGTTACCTGCAGTTTTGGAGGCCTACAGCGATGCTGTAACTCAGACGTTCTATGTCGCTGTGGCTATAGGGGCATTGGCCCTCTTTGCGGCGATCCCTATACAGTGGATGTCCGTAAAGGGCAAGAAACTCGACATGGCAGCGGCTTAAAAATACCCCAGGGAAATGGGGAAGTAATAAAAGTGCGAAGTTTCGATTTCGGTCCACAAGGTCTATGGGCTGCTATCTGCAAATATTATACAACATAACCTACCGTTGTCCTCATAGGGCGTGAGATATCCTGAGATATGGAATATCCTCTTACTTTGCTTTCCTTTGCCTTACTACGATATGCAGATATTACCATACTAAGCCATCCCTCCATAGTACAAAATACAATTAATAAAAATCTATAATTAATCCCAATCCAACCCTCAAACAACAGCATAAAGACTCAAATAGACTCCCCAAATAACCCCACAAGCACTCCCAAACACTACCCTCCGATCCACAGGAACAACAGTATACATAAGCGCCGACACCACCGGCCGAAATTTTAGCCTCGCAATCATAATCGGCCCAAAGTCCTTACCAGTATCAGTACCTCACATCCCAATATACCAAAAAAAAGGTGTGAATGCATAACACAACATACCTCACAAACTAACTCCCAAACCCTCCCCGCCCCCTTCCCCTTTAACAAATTAATCAACACAATAAATAAAAGAATATTAACTACCCCCGCAACCGTCTGATCTAGAAAGAACTTCATGGCAAAGTTCCACATCCCCGATCTCGGTTTTGGCTTGGGGGTTAATAGTTTCTCCTTCATGGGGAGGATGTCGATGTCGGCGGCGATGGGGGCGGCATTGTTGTTAGTTTTCCAGGATGGGAAGCCGGGGAATTGGGTTTCGATGTAGCGCTGCCAGTTGAAGTTTGGGGGCACGATTAGGATGCCGTAGGTCACAAATTGGAGGAGGGCGGTTGGGTTGAGGGTAAATGGTTTCTTTTAGGGGGGCTGTTAGTTGGTTCATTGGCTAATACTGGGTATATAGTTTTGTATCTAGAGTTGAAACTGGAAAGTAGAGAAAGTAAAGGGGTTTGTTCCTAGATCGGGTGGGGTTTGGGGGTCTGGGGATGTCTACGTACACTTGTTTTGTGTTGGTCTATTAATTGTGCTAGGATGTTGGAGATGGCGTTTAGGATTGTCGATTGGATCAGGGTCACTGTTAAGGGGGATGGGGGCATTGTTATTCGAACGGTTTTTGGGTCCGGGGTTAGGTAGATAGGTAGAACTTAGGTGGTGGGGGACATTGTTGGGTTGGAGACTGAGGAGGGAGGATTATGATTATATGTGTGGTTGGGAGGGGTTTGGTATTTCTTTTCTCTTTTGTTTGAAGGGTTTCATTGCTATTAAATGGAGAGTCAAGGAGTTGTTTAATTTGCCCTTTTGGGCTTGTTGCACGTGTTGGGCACGTGTCCTGATTGTTGTGTTTGGAAATTTAATGTAATGGCATTCCGGAGTTGTGCTTGGCGTTTGACATGTTGGATTACTTAGATAATTGGATGTTGTTTCTTTAGTTGCTTGGGGGTTTTTTTGTTGTTAATACTGGATAACTAGTTGGGGTGGGACTATTGTTGATAATCATTTGAATTGAAATGGCGCTGTACATAAATCGACTTCATTATGGAGGACGGGACACGTTGAAAAATTTTGAATCATTCAGCCTAGACGGTTAGATTCCTCCGGCGGACAATTACATTTGGACCCTGCTTAGCGCTGGTGAAATGATCCACTAGTGCCAGGTGGCCATGCTCATCTTCTCCCTTTCGGTCTGCTAACTCCATGTCGAACAGGAACATTAATCGAGCAATTGTCAGTCGCATCTCCATGAATGCCATACCCTTGCCAATGCATCCACGGGGTCCAATGCTGAACGGGCAGAATGCTCGGCGGGCAGCCTCAACATCTTCCTTGCTGCTCTGCCACTTTTCTTCGGTGGTCACGCATGTTGCGCCCTCGATCCATCTCTCTGGAATGTAGGCTTCAGGTCTGCGGTAGTACTGGGGCTGTCGGTGTATAGAGTACGTCGGGGTCCCACAGTCCGTGCCGGCGGGCAAAAAGGCCCCGTCCACGACGGCGCCGCCCTCCATCACTTCGCGCGGGATAGCTCCTGGAACTGCAGGTGCCAAGCGCAGCGCTTCGTCAATGCAGGCTTTCAGATAAATAAGGTCGTTTAATTTGGCGCCGGTGACAATCTCCTCGACTGAACTGAAGCTCTCACGGACTTCCTTCTTCAGCAGCTCCATGACGCGCGAGTTGCGGACCAGATAGAAGATGGTTGCGGCGAGCGTGGTGGAGGTCGTGTCACTGCCCGCGATCATGAGGACGTTGGCCTCGCCCCAGAGCTCGGGAGTTGTCAGGCCCTTGCCTGTCTCGGGATCTTTGGCGTTGAGCAGATAGTAGAAGAAGTCCTTCTTGGAATCGTGGCCCGCCTGGGTACGTTCCTGGGCGCGCTTGTTGGCTTCAACCCGAGAGTTCATGATGAAGTTCCATCGGTCGTTGGTCAACCTGTGAATGACGATTTGGTCCAAGTGCCAAGTATCAAGGGGCATCCACAGACCACACTGTTGACTGGTTAGAACAGCCACGTTCAATGGATTCCGAATTGTGATACTCACTATATAATGACGGTTGGCGGCGCGGTCTACAAGCTGGATCATCTTTCTGCGGCTGCTTTCAACCAACATATCGAAGCTCTTCCCGAAGCAAAGTTCACCCATGACGTCGTACGTGAGGTAACTGAACCAATCTCCCATGTTCTGGACAACCGTCTTCTGAACTCCTTCTTTGTTTCCGTTTGTCTGCTGACCTGTCAGACCTGTGCAGAGCTGTCGGACATGCAGCAGCATCACGTCCTCCATGCTCTTGAGAGCTTGGTCAGAGAAAGCCTGGCTCAATACGCGCCTCTTCCGACCATGCACCGTCTTATCGATCACATTGTGGGTATTATACACGCCCTTGATGGCAGTGAACCCATTGTAGAAATTGGCCTTCTTCAACTTCTTTCCGTGACCATAGATATCATGCAGGCCCTGCGCGGAGTTGATAGAGATGAAATTGGGCGCGACACGGACATGCGTTCCATACTGTTGATGCAGACTGTGAAGCCAAAGGTGTCGGTCCCCCTTGAGGCCATGATACAACTGAACCCAGGGTGTGATAGATGCAAGGAACGGACCATTAAACCTCCGAAGGGGGTGGAAAAGGCGGTTGTAAGTGACATAGGCACAACACTGCGAACAGTACGGTAAGCTTCCGGATGACGTACTTCAACGAAAACCACCATAGAAATAGAGAGAGAAGAAAATGAGATACCCACCAGCACACCCAACAGCCCAACCACTCCAGTAACTACCCCCTCAATCGAGAGCGTCTTCCAAACCTCCTGAATGAACATATTGCAACCCTCCGAGCCTAGAGATGGGATGTGGTTTCTGTGTCCGAAAGACCGCAAATAGCCGAGTCCAACCGAACCCCGGTTCCCCGCAAACGGTCTGTAGAAATACTATCGGAGCTTGGTAATATGACCAGAATCAACTGGTTGAATTGTTTCCTTGGATCCGTATGCGGTCCTTGTTCCCTTTCCTTCTGGCCCAGATTATATACCTCTCACTGGGTTCGGTTAGCACCGGGACTTCCTTATGTTGGAAAAAGGGATAGGGTGTCATACGTATGTAAGATTCTGTAAGAAAGTGGCGGTTGCGTCGATTGCAAGTATTCGTGGGTTTAATCGAAGAACCGTGGATATGTAGAGAGGATTGGAGCGATAACCTTAATAGTTGGGTTTTCAGTGGTTGATTGTTTTTGTATTATTATCTTGGGATTTGTTTGGTTTGTCTTCTACTTAGTTGGTTGATATACTACATTTTGTGCACATGTAGAGCTGCTATGTATGGTGGTGGTGATTTTAGCCTGTTTGATGGCTTTTCGAATTTATCTACCTAGTAGGGCACTATCTATCTGACAGTGCGATTTCAGACCTGGAGCCGGAGCTATGTATGATCTCTTGAGGACCGCTTCTATCCGATATTTTCTTCGGTCCCACATATTAACTGAGCTGTTATATTCACCGACAAATGGGAATTCGTTGGCCCTAGGGGTGTCATTAACTAAATGGGGGGTTGTGCGCTGCACTTCCTCGTGATTGTTTTATGGTCTAAATGCGCAGTAGATTCTGGTCTTCGAGAAAGGCGATACATAGCTGTAAGCTGACTGTGTCCGTGTCTTGTACGAGCATGCCTTGCGGTAATCAAATCTCAGTCAAAACTAGGAGTATCCATGTAAGCCACCGTCGAGAATCCATTGCTCATTGTCGTCATTATCATCCTGGACACGTCGCCATGTCTGTTTGCGCTCCTTTTGAGCTCTCCCTTCAACCGGTTTTCCCTCTGAATTTTTCCATACAGGTCGCATCAATCCACCAGCCGCAAGAAGTGGGTTCCGGCTGAAGGCATCGCCACGGTTTGGCTTCGTAGTTTCATCGGGCACATCGGGCTCAAGCTCGGGTTCTTCTTCCGCAGAGGGACTCGGCTCCGCAGAACCGGCTCCGGCAGACTGATACACACGAGTGACCCTGCCACCCTTGATATCTAAACTCATGATGGTCCTCTTCTTCTCCCATTCCGGACGGGCCTTTTCCTCCATCTCGCGCAATATCCGCTGCTGCTTCTTTAGCGCCAGAGCCCGCTGCGCAGGGCTCATCCACAGCGTCGACGCAACATTCGGAGTCTCGAAATCAGCTGCCTCATCAACAACACGCGTCCGCTTGGCATTCTGTGCCTGGAACTGGAGAAGTTTATCCCGGTGAGCCATGGCAGCGTTCATACTAGATGACTGAGAGGCCGAAGAACCCTGGCTCGGTCCTAAGCCCGGTCCACCCTCGCGGTGCATACTCTCATTATGCGCGCGCATCTTCTCCTGGCCTCTTTCTGCCCGTAGTTCCCGGATCATACTCTGAACCTCCTCATTCGATAGCAATGGTGTTCCGCAGAACGAACACGGCTGCAACCCTTCCAGGGAGCAGATAATCTTCCCACAGTTAAGACAATTCGGGGCGGGGGCGAAAAGCGGATGGATCGTAGCAGAACAGGAGCATTTCCGAGTCTCGTTACCCAGAGTCGGATTTGTAGAGACCTCCAGTGCAGCAATGGCAGCCGTTAGATCTGAGATGTTAGTTGTTGTTAGGGAGCCTTTGGGCTGATTCGTAGCGGTGTTGCTGGGTCGTGAGGAAGGCTTCGCAGCCTTGGACTTAACGTTCGGGAGAAGGTCTGAGAGAACCGGTCCTGCGGCGGAGGGCGGTGGTTTGCTTGTGGGTAGTTTCACGGGCGAGTGTGCGCGCGACGAGGTCGTCGATGAGTCTTCGACAGAGAGATGTGATGCACTCGTATCCAGTCCCTGTCCGATTCTCCGTGCGCTGCCTGCAGCTTCCTGTTTGCTTCTGGGCGCTGGTGCCATGTAGTCTTCTTCTAGGTCGGCCTTTTTGTATCCGCCTGTGACATCGCCGAAGTTATCGGGCCGGCGTGGCGGTCCAGTGCTGTGGAGGGGTGGTTTGGATTTCTTGCCCTTCTTTGGCCCCGTTCGGGTGGAAGCCGTTGTGGATGAGGATGCATCGGGAGCTGTTGGGCGTTGGGGGGCGGGTTCTCGTCGCGAACTGAAAGCGGATATGAATTCGAAGGCGGCGGGGGAATCGCCGAGTAGGTTTTTGAGATGATCGGCTCCTTCTTCTTTCGATAGGCTGGCGGCGTAGGTGATGATCTGTGTGAGTGACTCTTCGTCTAGTGGGAGGATTTGGGAGACGCGGGAAACACCCCAGGAGATGAGGCTGGGGTTGGCCATGATTAGATAGCGTTATGGAAAGAGGTTATGGGGTGTATGTGAGAAGAAGGAGAGTGGTGGATACGGCCCTCTTTGGCTGACTGAGATAGTAGTTAGTGGGGAGTGGAGGAGCTATCTTGGAGTCATATAGAGATAGTCGCCTGGTTTATCAGGCAAGAATTATATACTCGGCACCGCATCAAAACTATCTTATCGCTAAGCCCCTGGGGTTTTAAAAACGATAGAATCTAGTCCAAATAACTACTGTATTCATTGAAAGAATGCAAAACCTTTGAATAGAACATCAAGCTAAACCTATTGTACACACAACCACATGATCATCTATCCCTTGAGCAAAAAAGAAAAAAAGCAAACGAAGGGATTATGATTCAATGTAGCCATAACAAATGAAAGAATAGGGAGAATAAGGAGAGAAAAATAATGATGCCGAGATGTCCCAGACTTTTCGACTAATAATACTATAGTAAGTCCTGTTGACGCCTTGGATGCCGAGTATTTACGTCAGATCGTTAAAAGAGACTTATGTCCAAAACCCCGTCCCCAATGCAGACACACCTGTATGCCCACGAGAAGAAATGTAGAAGCCAGAATTAAACAAAGAAAAGGAAGAAGAAGTGACTATCAGTTGTCGCCATTTGCCTCGCTTTTAACATCGCCGTCACCGGCGGCTGCAGCATCCGCGGCTGCCGCCATGTCGGGTGTCACGCCATTCTTAAGTTTGCTACTGGGAGCTGGCGGCGGCTTTTTCCCTGATAATTTTTTGGGGGCTCCAATTTTTTTCTTCTTCGTTATAGTCGATGGGGTATCCTCATCTAATGGACGCTTAGGTGGAGCAGAACTCGGAGTGCTGGCGCCGTTCTCCATGGGCGTTTTGTTTCGATTGGTTTGCCGACCTGACAGACCGAGACAACGATCTAAGTGCTGTGCAACTCGCGTCACAACAAAGTACCTTGGGCAATTAGGGCATTTGACCGTCGGGAACGACACCTTCTCCGGAGCTGCTTGCTTAAAGGAGCCATCTGGCGTTGTAGGCGGGCTTGATGCTGGCGTATTCGAAGTATTTGTCTGTTTCTTCTTCTTGGGATTTAACTTGTCTGTAGCGAACGGATTCCCATGGACGTCATGTCCTGGTTTGTTGATCATCGGTTGTTTTTGGCAATATTCTCGATATGGATCCGGGGGAGGACGGGCTCCAACCCCGGTCAAAGGATAGAGCAGACGAGGTAATCGGCAGTCGGGGCAGATAATTTCTTTGGTAGTCTGAAGGGGGTTTCCCTTGAGATAGACCTTCCCATCTTCGAAGATAGCCCCCTCAGTCTCTACACGAATGTTTTTGAGTTCTTCAAAGTCTTCACCCGGTTTTAACGCGGTTGGCTTGGCGCCTGCCTCCTCTCGGCGCCTGCCTGCTTCTTCCTCAGCTTTCTGTCTAGCCATTGTCACAGCGGAACGCATCCTAGCGACCTTTTCGTCGCGATGGACTTTGGAAACGATGTCATGGATGATGTTGTAGAACGTGTTATTGAGTATATCGCAAGTCTAGATGGTTTTGTCAGTAACTTGAACTTGTTTTTTCCCTGACTTAATCGTTCTAGCCAGGAAAATGGGGATGCAGAGCTAATATAAGCAACACACCAGCTTCGCAATAGTCCCAGAGGGAAAGGAGCTTTCCTGCTGTTCTGTTCCGTTTGATTCCCCCATTTTGAAGAAGCCTATATTGTAAGATTGTAGAGTCAGAAACTAGATTGGAAAGTAAATGTAAAAGGACTAGATGCATGAATATGTGAGATGGCTGAGAGAAGCGCGGAGCTTTGGTGGCGGGCATCAAGAGGACGAAGTGTCATAGAACCCAGCTGTTAAGGCACCTTATTGTCGAAAGAAACACCACATAAAACAAGGGCAATGACTTATACGCGACACTTGTGCTTGTTTCTAATAATCACATGAAGTAATGGGTGTAGATCGCTGACTTTATGGAACCCACCTCAATTTGCGAGATACGTATTTGCTGCCCAAGACAGCCGTTCAAAATGATCGCGTTGCCGTTCCGATATCCCTTGAATCTATCACAGCAGCTCCATGTACTGTTGCGTAGTATAAAACGGCAGATATCAACTCGGAGCAAGACGATCGTGCAGAGGACAAAAGAAAGTCGAGGTCGTAAGACAACCCGACTTGCTCCGGATTGAATGAAATGTGAAAGGAGCGTCACGACAGGCTCAATCGAATGTCAAGAATCAGAAGAGTAACACCGAGAGGAAGCAGAAATTGAGATCCATCTGCCAATTGATAGTATATAGGGTTCTCAGCCTAGGGCGGGTAACACACCACGGTAGGGAGAATCAGTGAATGACCAACGCAGCTCACAAGGAGGACCCACTTACCTATTTTACATTAAACAGGGCTGTATATATATAATAAGAGAGAGAAAATATAGATCGTTCAATATATTGATAACATGCGACAGTACTCGGCAGTCTAGTCCAAAGTATCCTTCTTGGTGAGTAGTGGAGGTGTGAGAGAGGCTTCTGCGCTGGCCTTTCACTTGCTCAAGTCTCTCCGACCGGGCCCATCTTATCTTATCTCATCTCCGCGTTCTTGTCGCTGTTTTCGTCCATCATACGGACCGTACGACCTCCCCTCCTGTGACTACAAACCCTACTGGTCTTTTCCAGGAGATAAATAAGTGATTAACGCGCAGAACGCACTGAAGCTTTACCAGGATAGCACATATCTACGATCCCTTCCACCTACTATGGCATACCAGTTCTTCGCAAAAGCGCATCAGTCGAAAGCGCCGACTTCACCACTCTCCCCTCCACCCTCCTCGTCCTCCAACAACAGACACCCCAAAACTCCTATACACCCTCCCTCGCTGGCATATACTCATTCTACAGCTTCCGTCAACATCGCAGACAGCGCTAAACCACCAACGGGCAAAGACTCCTCCCTCCAGCCCCCCGCATACCCCCATCCCATCGCACCCGGGTACAAGACCCCGCACCCTCATGTCACCATAGAACCCGTTAGCACTGCTCACATACCCTCTTTAACCCGGATCACGGGCTTGCTGCTCCCAATCCGCTACCCAAACTCCTTCTACACGGCGACCATCACAGACCCCGTGATCGCGTCAGTGTCCCGCGTGGCCATCTACCACGATCACCCGGTAGCCACGGCGCCACCATCCACATCCTACGCGCCCACGCCCACCTCTCCACTAGGCGCAACCACGGGTTCAGACAAGGTGATTGGGGGAATCCGGTGTCGACTGGAACGGCTCCCCCCGACCACCGCAGAGCTTCTCCAAGCCCAGAAATCTCATGCACACGGGCCGACAAATCTCTACATTCAGACTCTTCATCTGCTTTCTCCATATCGAGGCTGCGGGATTGCAGCTTCCCTGCTTAACTCGTTGCTCTTCTCTTCTGCTCCTTCTTGTTTGCCTGCTGGTGAGCGGTCTACTTACCGGGTTTCGGAACTAGTGAGACATTACAACGTGCGCACTGTCACAGCGCATGTGCATGAGGCTAATGATGAGGGTCTGAAATGGTATATTGCGCGCGGATTCCAGGTGGAGGATGAGCTTGTGGAGAATTACTATCGGCGGTTGAGGCCTTCCGGGGCAAGGATTGTCAAGCTCGTTTTGCAATGGAACGACGATGCTAGGGATCGCTCTGCCAAGGTCGATGTCCAGTCTGAGTCGAGCCAGTCAGCAGAAGATGGAAAGAAGAGCTCGGAGGAGGATGAGGACTGGGAGAAGGTCGAAGCGGAGGACGGGGAAGACCATGAAGATCACGGTGTACAGACTTTTGCGGATTCTAGACTTCTTGAGGTTGACGATGGCGTGAATAGGAAGCGGAAGGCCGATTACGAACCTCAACGAGCGTGAGCTTACTCTGCCATTTTATTTTTGCGATATCTGATGACCTTCGTTTGTTATTATCTCTGCTCATCTGTTACGATACCCTTCGAGTGTTGCGTCTTAGATGTACAGCTCTCTTATTCGATTTCCTCTATTTATTTGCCTGCTTAGAAGTGTATACATTGCATGTGTATCGATCTTGAAGTTGGTTTTCGAGAGACATAAGAGTCATGAATAGAGAAAGGAACATGTATATCCAAAGATGCTATTTAATAAATGACTTTCATATACAGTTATGTTCAAATATGCAACTGTACAAGTTCGGCATGTCGCTTCCAGTCCATAAACGATCATTAGGGCTTCACCAATGGGATGAGTGATGTCTGCAATCGCGAGACCATTCAGACAAAACATATAACCCAAATCTATCAGACATTGTAATTCTCAGCGTGCAGGAAGATCTCGTCCTTCGACGAGTCAGTCAGAACCTGCTGCTGAAGCTGGGCAACGGTATTCGAAACTTCGAGTCTCATACTAGGAGGCCCACAGACAAAGACACAGGCACGACGACCAAATGCCCGAGAGTAGTCCTTGAGCACCTGCGGAATATCAGGACGGGCGTAATCAAGTCGCCAGCCATTCCTTCTCTGCAGTGGAACGGACGTAACCCGGGTAGCTAGTTTAGGAAACGCCATGGATAAGCGAGAAGAGCCGAGGTCGAGCGCAGAATCTGCCGGACTCTTCTGGGCCACAGACTGCGGCGAAGTCTGATAGTTAGGGTCAACGGCATTGTTAAAGTGCCTGCTAGTATTAATGCGCGGTAGGATGTATGCTGCCTGGGGAAGCGCAGTAATGGCATCTTCATTCTCACGCCGCAGCTCCTTTTCAAATTCCGGGTCCCCGGCTGCTTCCTCGCGGATGAACGCAGAGTTACGCTTATCCATGCCTTGGATTGTGTCGTTCATCTTCTCCTTGAGCATCTCCTGGTAGAACTGATTTTGGACCAGCTGGTCCTGGTTGTGCTGGTCGACTCCCGTGAGATAGAAATGACAATGCACTGTGTTGGGGGGCGCGAAGTCTCTACATATTCTCAGTTCCTCTCTGAACCACTCGATGGTCTCTGGGTTTCTGAATGCCCAGATGACCCGCACCGACTTGGTCACTGCTCTTCTGTCTCGCATCTTCTTGATCAAGTCCAAGAGGTGACTGGCAGTTGCAGTGATGCCACTTCCGCCTGCGAAGAAGACCACATCCTCAAAGGCGGCCATGTCTCTTTTCATCCCCCCGTACGGGCCCTCTAAGAACGCTGTCCAGGTCTTGTATGGGCCATACTCGAAAGCCTTCAAGAAAACTTTTCGGGTAAAGCCGCCAAAGGGTCGGAAAACGAGAGACAAATCGCGGTAGTGCTCGCCATATTCAGACGGGAAATCGCCACTACACAGCGAGGAAATTGTGAAAGGATGACGTTCGAAGATGGAGATGCCTGGCATGCGAAGGTAAACGAATTGGCCTGGTTTCCATTTCATCTGAGTCGCAACCGTGACTTTGATAGCATTCTGTGGGAGGAAAGTCACGGCGCATTCTTCGCCAATCAAGAAGGATAGCCGCAAGGGGTTGCTCCAATTGACATAAAACAGCCTAACTGCGTAGGAAAGTACCCAGATTGCAACAGTGGCCCAGAGGTAATCCCATGATGCCAAGAAGTTCTTTGTGTGCCAAAATACCATGGCAAGAAACAAGACTGAAAGGGGTAGGTGTACAAGCTTGAAGAGCTCATACATCCAAGCTCGGAGTACCGGCAGAGAATGAAGGCATAGAACTATGAGAGGTGCCAGTGCCGCCCAGCCTGTGCCATAGATGTAGATATTTTGAGGAAAGTATTTCTGATAGTACATGAAATTTTTACTTTCCCAGATGGGAGTAGCATAGAACGGAACCATATGGATCAGGCTTAGGAGTAGGCAGAGGTAGCCTGCCCAACGATGAAGAACATTAAGCCTCTCATGGCTAACACCAGTTAAAAGACTAATGAAGTTGGCACGAGTACTGAGCGCAATGATCCAGGGAATCATAGCCACGGAGATCATGCCTGCACGAATTGCCAGTGGAGGAGATCCAACTGAAATGGAAGAGTAGTAGAGGGGCTGCGGGACAAAAGAATAAAGAATGACGAACACTAAGGCCACAAATATAATTGAGGTTGCCCCCAGAGATGGAAACCTAATACATAGTTTTCCTAGACGTAGCACTGGAATGGGTCTATAGAAGATCCATCGAACGAAAGCAATGGTGTTGTTTAGTGGTGCAATGGTGGAAATTGACGACTGTTGCTTTGTGGTACCAATACTAGGTAGAGGGCCACGAGCTGGGAAGAAGTGCGCAGTTGAGCTGTCAGTGGCAGCACTTGGCAGCTCATATTCATCTTGTGGTGAGGCGATGTATGGCGATGTTGCAACTGCATCCTCTTTATACAGTGCGATTCTGATTTTGTCACCCCAAAAGTGATAGAACCGGACTATCGTTGAGATAGCGAGTAGCACCACGGAGAAGTAAACCCAGCCATGTCCATATTTTCCGGCTTGAGACCAGGCATCTTGCTGCATTTCAGCAATTTCCGCTGGTGTAGTGGAGGCAACAATCGGCATATAGATGCGCTTCACCAACGAAGCTACTGAGTGCCATTCTGGCAGCATCGTGGCTTGTATTTCCGTAACCTCAATGATAGTGATTTTTGTATAAAAATTATCAAAGCTGCTCTCGTGTGTTCCAAGAAAATTAGAAGAGGTCTGAATTCGATTCTCCGTGCTGTATCCTTTCGGCTCACCTCCCCTCTTCCTCTCTGAACCGAAGTATTATATATAATAAACCCGTGGAAAGCATTTAAAGCCACATTTGCTGGGTTGGGATATGCACGATAGGGCTACCGCCCGTTAACGAAAAGCGCGTAACAATTGGAGTTGATCGACGCGGGAGCAGATGGTCTCGATAGAGGAAAGAAAAGGGTAAGGAGATCAGGAAGGAATATCGATCATCATATGGAACTATCAAACTCTTCCCCAGCTCCCTGCATTCTCTCACCAGCTATTGGATGCTGCATCGGCATCATGCGGGGATAATGGCATGAACGTTGCAGCCGAATGTTGGGCCAATTCCGACCATTGAGCATAGTTAATCGAGGTAAGCATGGTTGCCATGTCTTTTAGCGGCAAGTATGTGGCGAGACTCCAAACTATTCATCACAGCTCCCGGCCAATGATAGCTCCCGGGGAGTGTGCTAATCTGCAGTGCGCTTCTACGCTAATGCAACACTTTTGCTTCTCATCACCTGCAACGCTTCATCCGAGCCACTGATTGGAAGGGCGTCTTCATGGCCGGCGGCAAGAGCAGACGCTGTTACTCAATGAAGGCGTGACGCTTTATTCAACTTTGGCGACAGGTTCGTTGGCATCTATTCGGTTGAAGAACAAATTTCTACTGCTTCTATGACGCTTATGTACAGCTATCACGAAATTAGGGCTCGTGATCATTCTAGCCAATGAAAGTCATGTAACTTGAGCCGATGTCCCGGCTAATTGTCGATTAGCTGATCACAAACAGGTTCTAGCAGAAAATGGTAAATTTGGGTATGTGACCCTCTGGAGAAGGTCTTTATCGCAGTTGATCAAATACAACTCATTCATCGCAAAGGCAGGACACACTCGGTGTCGAAGTGTCCTTGCTGCCAAAGGATGCCGCAGTCCCAACACCATTCCTGCTGGCATAATCCACCTACCGGTAAAATCGTCAGTCACCCTGGTATCACAATGATGTTATTCAATAGCGATGTACGTACATGTCATATGCTTACACCCCCCTGTTCTCTCTGTGGCCGTATCACAGCTAGGGCAAGCCCTTGCCGTCTCGGAAATCGCTCGCGTACTCATGTCCTCTTCGATGGACCAATCTGCGGGCTTATGCTTCAGTCCGTGGACCTCGGGAAACATTTGACAGCTCGTCTGAAACTCACTACGTGCCTCGTGACTGACACTTCTGAGGTGGATGAGCTCTTCATACTCTGAACAAGTCAACCCGTCATGCCAGACGCTATGCCGATGTATGAAGCACGTTCGAGTCCCGCATGAACCACAGACGACAATCGGGTCTTCTAAACCACCGGCATGTAGCTGCCCATATCCGCAGTCTTGCCTAATACACATGACGAACTCGGCATCCTCTTCTAATATTTGCCAGGTTCGCGTGTGGTCGTAAGCTTCGAAGGTCTCTTTGCTAGCCCACCATCGGACTTCCTCGTCAGATAATTGTTGCTGACAGAGAGGGCATGTCAATGGGCTCAGCCTTGAAGAAGAGAATTGTGCATCTAAGCTACGCTGAAGACAGTTCTTGCATATGTGTGTCCCGGGCATGGATGAGTGGTCGCAGCCTGCGGTAATCGATGATTCCGGATATGAGTCCAGCTCGAGGGTGTTAAGGCAGACAGTACAAGTCAGATAAGCTTGGTCCAGGATACCTCTGCTGCTTCTCGAAGTGTCACCCGAAGGAGATTGGACCGGCTCCTTACGAAGCAGGGAAAGGACTGCATCGGCAGTTCCTGCATCGCTCCAGCAATTTTCAGTCTCGTCAGGCCAGATGATTCTGGATTGGGCCATCTCCGTAATACCATCGTCGTTCGGCAGGTTTTCTCGACACTGTCCAAGCATTAGACTGCGAACCCCATGGTGATTGTCACATTGTCCACTTGGTAGATATCGTGAGAACGAAGGAGATTCTCCGTTAGATTCATCTGCTGAAAAAGATGCACTCATATTTCCTTTCCAAAGGTATTGACAAACTCTCAATCGTTTTTGTGAACTACTGTTCACCATTATCTACCACCGATCAGAGGGAGGTAGTAGAAATTCTTCTGCAGAGCTAGACTATATCAACATGCTCCCGAGTAATACAGGGCGTTTGCTTCATGTAGTAGACGCATAACCTATGCCGAGGACTTATCTCAGGTGAGTTTGATCAAATCATTCAACAGGCTAAGGAAAAAGTACCGTCCACTGAATACGAGATCTTGATACTACTTTTATTAAGCTGCGCGACTCACATATGCATCATTGATGATAAATTCCAAGGATACCTGAGATTTGTGGATCGAGACCGTTTAGCTCACGCGCAAAAGCTGAATCTAAACGATATAACCGAGAAACACTATTGTCGTCGGGTTATACGGCCCAATATAGACGCGAAAAGAAATTTCGATCAACACAGGCGCAATTCTGAAAAGAAAGCCTACTTGAAACTAGGAACCTTGTTGTCCTTGTTCTGCTCGTGATGCATTGTGCAATTACGAGCGGAGATACGAGTGTCATCCATCGACTAATAGCTTTAAAGCCGAGTAGCACCGCGTGGCCATGAGATGGTATAATGTGCATCGTGTTGGTTTCCCAAATTTGGCTTCTGGCCCTTGGCTCAGACCACACTAAGACTCTCGTTCGGAAACTAATGGATCGACGGCATCTCGTATTTATATATAGATCAAGCGACGATCCCTCAAACACTGACGTGAATTAATCGATTGAATAGTGTTATGTGTCGGCTCTACCATCAAGTCTTCCCTCCTCGTCGCGAGGGTAGCTCATTTCGCGCCATCGAGGGGCACAGGGATGCTGCTGTTGTACATTGGGCGTGGAGATTCTCCTCCAGGTATATGTTCCATACAGCTTTCCAGGACATAGTTCTCAAAAGGTAAATATATGTGCTTGTATTACCTTGTTCTTTCCTTCGTGAAGGTGCTATTTGAACTAGTCTTTCGCCATAGTACTTGCGCTGGCTCAAGGAGGAAAGCAAACTGGACTAGTATCTAGATAGGCCCTAGTATACACTTGATGATAGACATATAAATCAATTTGTAGGATAAATAGTCAATTTTGCAGGTTTTACAGTGATTCGACTAAATGAAGTTGTAGGTTGGTGGTGGTGGGTGAATCAATACTCCGCAGAGCCATTGGTCTGCGCAAGGCTCACCGCCTTCAGTATCGAAACTATTCTGCCGCCGAAAAATAAGTTGCAGCTTCTTTCCGTCGACCAACAAGAACAACGAGTTTTGAAAGCCCAAATTTTCCCGGCATTCGACAATCTTACCTATCATACCGGTCAAGCTCACCTGCGGATACTTTCCATTTGAAAATGGCGCCAACCGCAGCTACTGCTGCGCAACCGACTCCTCCGTCTCTTTCTCTCCCCCCCTCACAGTTCGCGCGGCTTCAACCTCACGCTTACCTTCTCGCTCACTTATCACCTCCCCCAGCAAGCAACCAGCCGTCCATCCGAGCCAATGGCCGCGCCACCTCCCAGTTCCGTGTTACTTCTGCAAATACCGGCTCCTTGACTCACACAAATGGCAGTGCGGTGGTGAGACTCGGAGACACCACTGCCGTATGCGGTGTTCGAGCGGAAATCCTGCACACAGATGATATCGCCTCGTGGAGCGTATCTCGACCACCACCAGCATCGTCAGCCACTACCTCCAATAAGCGCCGGAAGCTAATGCCAAGCCAAAGTGAAGACGACGACAGCGACGACGACGAATCGCACATCCAAGACTTCAACCTTGTAGTGCCTAATCTCTCCTTGAGTACCGGATGCGCGCCGGGGTTTATCCCTGGCGCACCACCCTCGGCTATGGCACAGTCATTATCGCATCAGATTCTTACATTGCTGCATAGCACCCGGCTAGTTCGTACAGAGGACCTACGGATCTGGTATCAGCCGCCAAACTTTGGAGCCGAGGAACTAGAGCGTCATAATGAGGATGAACAGATGGATGTAGATGCCCCTCAGGGCGAGGCTGCTACTGAGAAAAACAGGGAGATTAAGGCTTTCTGGGTGCTTTATATTGATGTCATGATTGTTTCGCTTGCTGGTAATCCATTTGATGCTGCCTGGGCTGCTGTTCTGGCTGCCCTCCGTGATACTAAGTTACCCCGGGCGTGGTGGGATGTTGATAATGAAATGGTGGTGTGCTCGGAGGCTGTCTCGGAGGCGCGCAAGTTGACTTTGCGGGGATTGCCTGTTTCGAGCTCGTTCTGTGTCTTTGAGGCTGATGCGGCTTCCGGGTGGAGAGCAGTTGTTGTTCCAGATGCTGAAGAGGAGAGGGAGCTCGATGACAGCGCTAGGAGGGGCAATCAACGGAGATGGATATTGGCTGATCCCGACGGATATGAGGAAGGGCTGAGCCAGGAAAGAGTCTGTGTTGTAGTTGACAAAGAGCAAGGTGGAAAGGGGAAGACTGTTGTTCTGAAATTGGAAAAGAATGGTGGATGGGCAGTGGATGCTAAAGAGCTGAAAGCTCTAGTAGACATATCCGCGCAGAGATGGGAGGAGTTAAAACAAATACTTGAACAGTGTTAATACTCAACTAAATAGGGAAGGTTACGGTTAATGATACTAATTGAGAACATTTCATTTTGTTTCTCCCTATCTTCATATAGTTACAACTGCTGCTGTAGGTAAGCAAGAAATGGTAGGACGCCATCAACGCTAAACACGGTAATATTCGTTTAGTACTCATGTTGTGGGAGAAGCTGGGCCTGCGTTCCTGGGGCTCCTTCGGCGCCGTTTCGCGGGGGGCTCATCTTCCTGCTGTGCATTACCAACAATAGACCAGTTCTCATCGTCGTTGGATTTATCATCGTTTGCTGGGCTTTTCGGTTGATCGGCCGTATCAGCCCTGCCCTTATGGGGAATATACAATGAGATTGTAAACAACTCCAAATTCTTGGTGTCGCTTCCTTTCGAGGGTTTCTTTGGCTCTTCGCCGCGATGTCCCTTTGCCTCAGTTGCGCTTTCCTTTTCATCAGGCTTTCTAGAAGATGGTTCTGATTTCCTAAGTTTCTTCGTGGCATTGGCTTTTCCTGACAGAATGCGGCGGAAGAAACCAACGTTCGTAGCGGGAGCTTCCTCAACCTGCTTCTCGGCCTTTTCTTCGCTATCATCCTCTTCCTCGTCGGCATCAGTGAATTCCCACATCTCTTCGAGGTCACCTTTGACAAAAGCAGTTCCCCACAAGGAAATCAAGACTCCAGGTACCAAATAAAGAAGAGCAGGTTGGGGATGGTCGAAGCATTGCATGATGGTGAGCGTTACAAGTATGCCAATTATGTACCCAACCATACTGGTTTTGAAGTACGTCTTAGGGAAAGACCTAGCATCGTGATAAGGAGGTTCCAAGGTGGGCTGGCTCGTGGCGACGGACGATATCCAGAACCGCTCTCCCCATCCTCCAGTTGCAGATTGATACACTGGTCTAACGATGTCCTGGATCTTGCCTTCTGCCTGAGCCTTCTGTATTCCCTTTCTCTTGTAATAGAGGAAGAGATCAAAACGCAGGGCCAATCCAATCATCATGCCCGGAATAATGATGTCACCCAATCCTATCATAGCCAAAGAGACAGCATCTGGAGGTGCATCGGGTCCAGCGGGGCGAGGAAAGACGAGCTTGATGGGAACGTCCAGGCCTTTTGCAACGGTTACCATCAATGGAGTGAAATAAACGAAGTAGATATCGTAGAAGAACAATGAGCTCAGAATGAGCGATCCGGTGACAAAGCTAGATGGCGACATGAACTGGAGAGTTCCGTAGCAGAAGCTAAAGCCCAAGAAATTAGTCAACCACCAAGGCTTCATAACGAAGGTGAAATAACCAATTGCGGGCAAAGCCAGGCCGAGACTAATGAGGTCCAAGAGGCCAACTGAGCAGTCCATTTTGAATATGCGGCGTAGATGGATCCGAAGTTTGGCTCGTTGATATATCAAGCTCCGACAGGTCCAAAGAAGGCTGAGAATCCATCCTGGCAATGGGATAGAGCCAAATATACCTGGGAGAGGAGAACTCTGCGATTCCAGAGATTCTGAAGTAGTTGAACCTTCCTGTGCAAGTGTGAAAACACGATCCGACTGCCTGGCCTTCCAGGTTTTGCCTGCTTTGCTATATTTCCGGGGAAATACAAAGGACCTTAGCACCGAAAGGCTGTCTTTCAGGAAAGCCATGGCAAAGAAAATGCCCATCTGAGAAAAGTAGAAGCCTAATATCTTGTTCAATTTATCAGGTCCCATCCAATTCATCACAACATACAATCCTCCAAGTGTGAGACCAGCTGTCAGAGGGAAGACCAAAGCGTCGCTCGGTGCAAGGCCTTCCATCTTTCGGTCGTTGCCTTGTTCTTCGTCGTCTTCGTCTTCGTCTTCATCATCCGATTCATCGCCATCAGCATCTTTGGATTTTTTGGGCGGCTCTGCTGCAGAAGATGGCCGTGAGAGCGAGGCGTGGGAGCCAATGTAGATAGGGAATAGAACCGAGAGGAGCAGATGTCCGTATGTTGGCAGAAGAGGCTTTACGGCCGTGAACTGGTAGATCGCCTGCCCCAAGAACTCGGCGAAGGGGCTAACCTCAGCCATATCGACTTTTGAGGAGCTAATCGCAAGGATAACGTAAAATGCGATCTGAAGCCCTCGAATCGTTGATCTAGGATAGAAGGGTGTGCTGTCAGGTGGGGGTTTTATTCATCCATGGCTGTGGAGGCTTTGTTTACTAAAGAACAGAGAGATTTAACACATTGCATCACATGGGATCCCTGCATTTAATGCCAAGCCGGAGACTTCCCTCCGCCCGCAGCTTCTGCGCACCTTTCACTCAAGCCTCTGCATCTCCAGATAAGGGAACACCTCAATTACCAATCCAATCATGGCAACGGACGTAACTTTCGATACGAGCATGGTAAGTAAGGCTCTCAAGATTTAATGGCTAGGCTCAAGCGCTAATCCTTCCACAGGGCTCGTTCACAGTAGAGCTTTACAACTCGCACGCACCCAAGGTCAGTAGATCTTCTCTGCGATCGCATATACCAAGATGCAATTCGAATTGACTTTTACATTATTTCTAGACTTGTAAGAATTTCGCCACACTCGCGCAAAGGGGTTACTATAACAATGTCATCTTCCACCGCATCATTCCGAACTTTATGGTTCAGACCGGTGATCCTACTGGCACCGGCAGAGGAGGAAGCTCTATCTATGGCGAGAAGTTTGAGGATGAAATTCGCACAGATCTTAAACATACAGGAGCCGGGATATTGAGTATGGCAAACAGTGGACCAAATACCAACGGTAGTCAATTTTTCATAACACTCGCTCCTACCCCGTGGTTGGATGGCAAGCACACGATCTTCGGCAGGGTCAAAAGTGGAATGAGGGTGATTCAACGCATGGGACTGGTAAAGACAAACGCTGAGGATAGACCGGTTGACGAGGTCAAGATCATTCGTGCCAGGGTTGTCGAAGAAGGAGGGGAGTGAAATGGGGGCTAGATACTGTTTCATCGCGGGCGACTGGGATCAGGTTGGAACCTATATCGATACCATCTCGCCAATGTCCGTCTTTTGCAGGCGACTCGTTGACATTACTACTCGCGTGGGTTTAAGCAGAGGTTCATGACTGGGACAGCCTTAACCACCTCCCCTTTGGGAATACAGCGAACGTAGAGTATGCTTAGGGCCACACATTTGCATCCTAGTATACACGCCGAGTTGGGAGAACTCTGGACGAGGGCCTACTACAGTTACAGGCCATTATTCGCATTACTGCTGGCCGGGGCAGTTATTTGTGATGAGAAAGCGAATAGCTAGGTAGGATGTGGAATGTATCACTACAAAACGAACTGCTTCTATCAGATGTTACCATCCAGAGCAGCAGATACAGAGTGATTGATTCTGTCTACCACTCCCATAGACGATATGACCAGTGAAGGCATATCAAAAGACGATACTGTTATGGTTGAGATGACAGTATGCCTATGCAAAGCACTGAGAGTGGTGTGTAATGAGAAAGAAACTTCGTGCGCTTCGGAATCGATCCTTAAGCGGCTCGCAAAGCAGGCTAGCTGGTTTAGGTATAGTGTTTCCTAATGGTGCCTCAGGCCGCGAGAAGCTCTTTCTCCAATAGTAGTACTTCGCATTCTATAGTTCTACTATCCAAGGACAGACATGCACCAAACAATGCTGATATCAGAACCGTATGTCCACTTTGTCAGGTACACAGCAGGATTTTGAAATTCAGGCTGCGACACTCAAAGACCAGCCCGGGTACAGGAGTAAGATACATTACAGATTACGAGCGGAATAATGCTCAATAATTGGGGCAAGGACGCATTGCAACAATGATCATGACCTCTACTTATCAAGTCCGTAGCCATTGAGATGGATCAAGCAACCCAGGAGTCTGTATCAGCAACAGTTATACCTTCCCTATTGAAGATTTGTACAGTCTAGCACCACTATGAGCGGAGCTCCTCATCACGTGACTTAATAGGCGGGTCTAATTATTTCTGCGTGTGTCCTCGCTCTTCTTTTTTTCTTCCCCCGAGAATCCCCTCGTCTCTTGCACGAATGATCGTCGATGCACCACCACCAATGAGCTGGAAGGTCCTTGTGCAGAGGGGTTCTACAGCTTGTCACCCGACGTGATGGTAGTCGGAATCCATTGTAACTGGTACTGAACTTTTGCAGCTTTGTCTTCTACACAGGTCCATCATGGAGCCACTCTCAGAAACGCCATGGGATGTAACGATCTCTGGCACTGGACTGGCCCAGTCCCTTTTGGCACTGTGAGTACCGCTCTGTTCATATTGGAGCTCGTGGGTGATATTGGATGACTAATCGCTTTGTAGGGCGCTGTCGCGGTCAGGGAAGAAGGTGCTCCATGTTGATCGAAACTCATATTATGGAGGTTCTGAAGCAGCATTCAGCCCTCAGGAGGCCCAGGAGTGGGCTTCTAGAGTGAATGGAGGTGAGCGATCTGTTCAGAGAGCCATAATGCAACTGGCTAACCAATGTCAATAAGTTAGAACCTCAGCACTTTCCTTTTGAGAATGCGACTGTGTATATTCCTGAAGGATCTCCTCAGTTATTAACCCGCTCATATACACTCACCTTGTCGCCGCATTTGATCTATTCCAGGTCGCAACTTCTGCCCACCTTGGTGTCTTCAAAGGTGTACCGGCAACTGGAGTTTCAGGCTGTTGGGAGCTGGTGGATACACAAGCCCCAGCCCGGCTCTACAGGTGGTAGTGGTACTGCTAGCAGTGCAGCCCTGTACAGAGTGCCAAGTAGTCGCGAGGACGTCTTCGCAGACGACATCATAAGTGTCAAGTCGAAAAGGACCTTGATGAGATTTCTCCGCCATATCAGCAAGCCTCAGCAGGAGAGCGACTCTGAACCTGAGGAAGAAAACTTGGCTATGTCTCTGTCGGAATACTTGACCGCCAAGTTCCAAGTGCCCGCTGAGCTGCATGATCCTCTGCTTTCACTATCCCTATCTCCGGCTTCTCCTGAACAAACTCCTGCCGAATACGCCGTGCCGCGCATCAAAAGGCATCTTGCCTCTATCGGTGTATTCGGTCCTGGCTTCGGAAGCCTACTCGCGAAATGGGGTGGCGGCTCTGAGCTTTCTCAGGTTGGATGTCGTGCTCTCGCAGTAGGAGGCGGAGTATACATGTTGAACTCTGGGGTTCAATCAATCAAATGCAATGGGGTTGAGGATAGTCAAGATGCGCGTGTTCAGCTGCATCTGTCCAACGATGAGACAATCAAAACCAAGTTTGTGGTAGGCTCCAACTGGGACCTCCCTGGACAAGGTTGCCCTCTTTGTGACAAAGTGGCACGGTCCATCAACGTTGTTTCGGCCTCCCTTGAGAGTTTGTTTCCTGTCACGGCAGAAGGTGGGCCAATCCCCGTCGGAGCAGTCGTAGTATTCCCGGGAAGCTCTCTCGATCAGGCCGATGATCTGCCACCAGTATACCTCTTGGTGCATTCAAGTGAAACCGGTGAATGCCCACCAGGCCAAAGTAAGTATAAATTTCCCTTAACAACCACATTTTCATTTGCTCATGTGATGCATTTTTCCATAAATACTTATCTACATTGCCTGTAATTGCATTGATGAAACCTTACAATCTGATCTTGAGCTTGTCATTCGTTTATGTTTTCACGACTGTTGTTTGTGACCATGTTGCTAACTGGAGTGTGTTAGGTGTCGTTTATGGCAGTGTGGGCATTCCTGGTGCTCAAGGCCAATCTTTGATTGAAAAAGCTGTGCACAGACTTCTTCAGTTGAATGCAGATCCGGATGCAAAGGTCTTGTGGTCTTTGCGTTACACACAGTTGGGCCTCGCTAGCAACGGTGTTGCCGACGCGCGCTCATCTAAGTTAGCGCGCCCCTCACCCAATATCCTTTGCTTCCCACCTCCCAGTCTAGACCTTGCCTTCGATGATGCAGTGATCGACCGGGTGAGGGATGCGTGGAACTTAATTATGGGAGATGAGGCCAATGAGTATGAGTTTATGAATTTCGAGGACCGAGAGCGTGCCGATGATGAGGACTGATATATCACTCATCGTCGTATATGCATAAGTAGATATACAATGATCAATGAACCAGGTAAAATACTTTGATGACTATGTTCGTTTTGCCATTCATTCAAATCACAAGCAACTGGGCAATTGTAAGCTTATCATGCCCTTGCGCAAATCCAAGCGGTGGGCTGCTCCTATTGAACTATGTCGTACAATTCAAAATATATAGACCCTACATGGACTTAATATAATATCCTATATACTCAATAGCTTTGGGATCTTCATTCAAAGTAATCACTTAACATCCAGCCATAACCCCTCCAACCCAATCAATCTACATTGCCCCCTCCCTAACGCTACAATGGCAACCACCCACCACAAACACAATCGACCAAGTCGCGTGAGCAACCCTCGGATCTACTGGACTGGAATTCATACGTATCACCTTCATTAACCCATCATCTATCATCAAAATTTCAGACATCAAGTACCCCCGCACTTGCGATTCCACACACGTAATCCCACCTCCAGAAACAAAGATACCTGAAACGCGGAGGAAGTTTCAGCCCCACTTTCACAATGTCACAAAGTCAATCCGATTGTTAACATCGTCTGATGCCAAGTGCTAATTATCTGGTCTACTCCAGTATTGGGGTTTCCCACTGAAACACTGTGTAACGTGGGCATAGCGGTTGGTGAAACCGTTGCCCAGTATCATATCTACTGGACGATGCTCTTTTTTGGGATTTTTTGTTTTTAGGGATTTTGTAGGTTTGGGGTTTGCAAATTTGTTTTTTGTATTGGAGGTGTTGGTTGGGGTTTTGCGTAGCAGTAGTAAGGTATGTATGTATCTATGTATTTGCTGCACGTTTGTGGTTTGGGAGCTAGGACGGATGGGTTAGTAAGTTTTGACGTTAGGTCTACGGTGGAGGGGCGGGATGTTGTAGTTGCTACTCCCCGGTTGTGTTTATTGGCTCATTTGCTCAGGTATGTGGTAGACATTGAGATATGGAGGATGGTGGGTGTCCTGTTGATGATGTTGTTGTTTCTGATGCTTAGATAGGGAGATTGTTATCGCATCGAAAGCTGTCGCATTCCTAAGCCAAGACAGCTGCTAGGGAAAGGGAATATTTAGATTTAGGCTTTTCGGAATTACATCGGTGGCTTGATATTGGGAATGCAAGGGTAGAAAAGATCAAAAGAATGTAATTCTTTTGATTGCATATGTCTCCGTAAGGGCTTCAGATGTCAGATGTTCTGCGGGCATAAGAGGAAGGTAACATCGATAATGAATGCTCATTGGTCGAACGCTTCCTTGGTCATGAGCACTTTTCTTATCCAATTAGGTGGCTAGGGACTGCCACTCGTTGATTAATATCCGAATATATTACGGCGTAAATTGGCAATGGGACTATCGAGTAAATCCTCCGGGCCGTGCTTTAAATGTCATTTATCTATTCCAAAGCACCGTAGATCGGTTGTATCGAACGGTTTCACTTGACATGAACGTTCTAGAAAAGTCGGCGATCTGGCTACATGTGGACACTCGCTGCCTAAGCGAGGATGGCTTGACTCATGGTACACAGAGCTATAAATTCTAGGGCACATTTTCAAATAGTATATGAGCCTGAATCGACGGCACTCAGGGGAGAACAGAAACTCGCCCATAGTTTCCAACCGGGCAGAAGTTCCAATCTAATGGACTTTAAATCGGACTAGTAGAATAATATCACAATCTACATTTACGATGACGGGATATCACCTCATTTAACGCACAGGCGCTAGCGCGTCTACGGTGAAACTATATGACCAAGCTCAACACACCGTGTGAATTGAGTTTTGTGGTTGAAAGCTCCGACCATACTCGACGGTGTTGCTTCGATATCGGAATCATTTCGTGCTCTGTCAAGGGGATGTACGCAATATGGGAGTTTTACTGAGCACATATTAAGGTGACTTTGCATCTCAGCTTGTCTCGGAGGTACCAGATGTGGCAGGTATATATTAGCTGCCAAGGTTCAGGACTGGAGTCTGAATATGGGACTGTTCTTCATGAAGAAATGATATACTGGCGGAAGTCCGGGATCAGCTCCGTCGAGTAAAGGCTCAGCATGGACGCGAAATATCGTATCTCGGTCGGACCGCAACCCAGGTTTACGTGGTTTAAGCGGATCTCGGACCCTTGATAGCTGATGCCCTTGAACTTTGTACCCCATAAGCGAGGAAGGGCCCTTGAACGGATGCCCATCATATCCCGGAGAGGAATAGGTCCCTCTACAGTGGGTTTGTCTATTCTGAACAGAGAAAACCGGGTCATCCCCCGTAACGTATCCAGCGGAACGGTCAATAGGAACAAAGAGAACAGGAATCGGAGTCCACCGACGGACGACGATGATCAGGGGGTTGGGAATGAAAATCTTTACTCTCAAACATTGCGGCTTGTGTGTAGACCGACTGACGTAACTGTCTACCTTGTGGGACACGATGCATGTGGATTGCTCGTAGATGGATGCATAAAGTTATAAACAAGGGTCTGCTGTACTACGTGGACGGAAAGTGTACATACTGTGCTGCGTAAAGTACCTCCCCCCGAACCCGTAAGAGGATTTTGATTGCAAAAAGGCCCCAGGCTAGTGTGACAGGTGCCAAGGCCGGCGTTCAAGCTTAATTACTCGGCAATAGAAATAGCTACTTGGAGGGAAAGTCGGTGCCGATCGTCATTCTACAGACGGTTCCTTCGACTGGATACGTTGGGCCCTAAATTGACGAGGGTCGCTTTAGCGCCTCTATACGACGAAAGAAGACGGGTATATTCGAGTAAAAGAAGAATTGCAGTAGTGATCATGTCAGGTACTGTGTCTCTGTAGGTGGCAATACTTCGTAATGAACGAGTTTCCATAAATATCAGGCGTGCCTCAACTACTTTGGTACACGCGTCGCTACTTATGCTTTTCATTCAGTACATATGATTGGATTGCATTGTCCAAAGTTTAGGAGGAGTAGTGCGATTAGAAGTGTTGATCTCGATCCACCCGTGCCACCAGGTATCTTTCAGGTACCGGTACCAGCTTAGGTACATCCAATTAGTAGGCGCCTAAACAATGCCACACATACTGGCTTGCCACCGCGGGCATTATTCTCAGCTGTAAGTATTCTGTCAATCTGTCCACTATTGCCTTCGACCGTGGTTTTCTCTCATGTATGCACGAAGTAATCTTCAACGGTTGAGTTTGGCAAAAAATAGAAACAGGGGAATGCATTCAGGTTCAAAAGACTCGCACTATGTACAAAATCCATGTCAGGTCCAGGACACCTATGCATATCAAATTCAAAGAACTACTGTGAAGTATTTCGAATTCATTACGCACCACGAACCAAGGTACATTTTCCCCCTTCTCTGCTAATTTAGACGTACTTAAGTCTTAGCATCATGTAATAGACCTAATGGTATCACACAATATTAATAATGATATGATGAAGCCATAACTTCAGATACGACATCAATAGGGGAGAACAACATGTGGTGGAAGGGACACGCGGCCCGTGGGGCTCCGAGAGGCAGCGCCCCCCTAAATGAACGCCCCTGAGTGGCTGGCCGGGCGGGAAACATCACAGATCGACGCCTCTTTTATTTTCTTCAAGGACTTGTTTGCCTATCGAGTATTTATCCCGGGGATGTACGAAGAGCTGATTACTAGCATTTGGAAGAAATTTTTATATTAGTGTATAAGTATTGTATGGAAAGATACATAACCCCAACTTATCAATGGTAGCCTCTTGCCAAAACATGATATATAAAGTCAATGGGTGAAAAATAAGGGTAGAAGATAAAGAACAAAGAAAGTGGCTAAAAACAACAGGTACTAGAATGTTCCCAGAACCATTCAACCATTCACACACTCATTGACCATTCCAAATGGAGTACAATGGCGTGGATTGTCCGTCCGTCGACCGGACCCGGTGATACCCACTCCGTTGAGGGACTGTGGTTAATTCTAAATACGAACTCTTACGGGGAACCTGTAACATTTGATATCCTGTTTGAAGTTGATGAAGGAAACGTTGATCGGCCGTTAGGACCCTGAGCATGCGATGTAGAAAACAGCGTTCAATGGCCAGTACTATATAAAAAGCATACACAACCTCTCCGGAAGGATCTGGGCAAGCGGTTGTCCTTATAGGTGGAATAATATACGCTGCAGTTTGACCAGACTCACCATTTGCTCTTAATTCACTCTCTGGTTTGGTTTTCACGGTTGATCAGCCTGGTTCTGTAGGTGCATGCTTGGCTGTGGTGTATGCAATTGTATGGATATCAGTGGTACTTGTATAGTATCGGAGTGAAGATAAAACACCCATGAATACATACATGGAATAGCAATGCATTCATTGGTCTCTTAAGACTGCAGTGCAGCATATCTAGCTAGGGTCCATCCCATGCAAGTCACTAGAAAGATATCGTGATGATTTTGATATTCATTTGGATTGAGCCATAATCCTGTACGTATTGATCGAAAGGGTTTTGAAATTCGAAATTGAAAATTACCAACCACCCGTGTGGTGGAGGAAGAACCATCTCTCTGGGCAGCATTCTTCCCTTCTGTCAGTGATCTACACCAAAACAGTCCACAACCCCTCTGAGGATGTACTAGTACTCAAGGAAAGGCTAACAGGGTTTGGCGGGATTGAAAAAAAAAAAAAAAAAAAAAAAAAAAAAAAAAAAAAAAAAAAAAAAACAGGCCCGACTTAAGTTAGAGAAAATGCGGGAGGCGTCAACAAGGCGTAGAAGCATAACCAGCATATTATAACTTGGAATTTCTCAATTTGATTCTCTGACTTTAATTCCATCTCTCTTTCTCTCTCTGCATAATAAATTTCTCTCCCCTACGTCTTCAATCACCTGCCCTAAAAATTTTTTTAGGTCGGTCTCTCGCCCCATCGACATATCTGAAACCTCCTCAAGTGCAGTGGAAAATTACGGCGGAGTTGAGCTTAATATTTTGCAGATTAAATTACCCAGTGGAGGAGCTTAGGCCCCATTTCAACCCGTGGTCCATTATTCGGCATTCCCACTTAGGAACACTTTCTGTCTCCTGTCTTCATCCTTCCCTCATCCATTCTTTTCATACTTCCCTCCCTCTTCTCTTCTTCTACTTCTTCTCTTCTCTCCTCACCCTTCAAAGGCTCGACATCGCCCTAAATCCTCTTTTCTACCCCCATTCCGATTGTTCTTCTAAAGCCCTGGGCGCGCGGTCCAGTTGTGCTGTTCTTTCTTGCCTCAACGTGGGCCTCTTAGTACCCTTCGGCTCCTGTTTCCCCATCGCGACGGGGAGACCGAATAATTTCACCGGGCCTTTCAACCCGAATCGTCTCCTATCTTTGTGACCGTGTCGCTGGTCTCGACGCTGCCAGCCTTTCGTTGCCAGTTACTCTAGGCAGTAGAAATTTTTTTTTTTTTAAATTAGAGATTTCTATCTGCCATTCACGCTCTTTTCATCCTCAATTCGTCCAGTCTCGGCTGATTTCTCTGGTGACATTTGTGCGATAGCGGACCCGATAGACGACGACTTCATCTTGTCTATGTCCCTTTGATACGATCCGGTGATATAATATTCTTGCCGTCGACCACTTTTTACAATCGTTTTCATGCTTAAGAACAACTCCTTTAATAATTCGCCCAAAATGCCGATCTTTCGTACAAGAACCGTCTTCCCTCTTATCGCCCTATTTTCCATAGGATTTTTCTTTTGGTGCATTGAGCGCTACGACCGTGCGGCGTTCCTCCGGTTCAAGCACCCCGTTGATCGGGTTGCTACATCAGCTGGTACTCCTCAGATTCAGCTGCAACCATCAACGGCGCCCACGGCGAAAATGTGCGATGCGGATCCTAGTGTGATGCCTCCCCTGCCTTTCTCTGAGTGGCTTCCTCGCAAGAACTATACCCGTGCCTACTTCCGTCCCCGCCACGTGAGCCCTAAGACTGAATTCCGGTCGCTGGAGGAAATTGACGTGCCTGTGCTACCGCCCATGACGGTGATGGAGCGTGGTATGGTTATCTCGCCGGAGAACGCGAATTCCGATATTCCCTGCCCCCCAGTCATTGATGTTGACGTAGCGGCCGACCATGAGGTGGATGAGACGGACAAGCTTCTGTTCGGCTTGGCCACCACTGCTGACCGCTTGGACCGCCTACTCCCCTCTCTCCTCTATTCCTACGGAAACACCAAGGCTGGTATTATCGTGTTGGTTCCGGAATCCGACGACGATATTCCTAAGCAAGAGACCTATTTCCGGAACCGTGGCCTGGACTTGACCCTTATTCAGTCCCCACTCGATTTCACTGCTCGTTATTTCGGCCTGGTTGAGGCGTTCGCTAATCACATTCGCACAAAGCGCCCCCAGACCACCTGGGTCAGCTTTATCGACGACGATACTTTCTTCTTGTCCCTCCCTACTATTGCCGAGGAGCTGAAGCTCTTCGATGTGAACAAGAAGCATTACATTGGTTCCTTGTCCGAAGCCCACTGGCAGGTTGATACCTTCGGTCATATCGCCTTCGGCGGCGCTGGTGTCTTTGTTTCTAAGCCTCTGCTTGACGTCCTGGAACAGTACTACGATGAATGCCAGTCGTGGGGTGAGCAGCCTGGAGACCAGAAGCTCGGACAGTGTATCCAGCGGTACGGGGATACTCATCTTACCCTTTGGCCCTCTCTTTACCAGATGGACATGAAGGGCGAGGTTGACGGGGTGTATGAGTCGGGCCGAAAGATCGAATCTCTCCACCACTGGAACAGCTGGTACTCTAAGGATGTTGTTAAGATGACGACCGTAGCAGCTGCCGCTGGTCGTCGATCTGTGCTTCGTCGTTGGGTTTTCGACCAAGAAGAAATTATCAACAACTCAACCGGAGAGTCCACCCGTACATTCTGGGTCTTTACCAACGGATATTCCCTTGTCAAGTATACCTATGATGAGAAGACTCCTGATGATGCTATTGATTTCGACCACACGGAAAAGACCTGGGAAGAAGATCCTCGTGGTTATGAAGAGCGCCTCGGGCCTCTTCGCCCTAAGGATCATGAAGGGGTCCTTAAGGATCGATGGCTCCTTAGGGAAGCTTTCGTTGTCGGCGACAATGTGCACCAGTGGTATGTGCGTGAAGAGGATGAAGGCCACAGTGTCATTGAGATCGTCTGGCTTGGTCCCAAGGGCGGTGGCGGTGCTGGTATCAAGGACTACAACGTTAGGAAACATCACTAATCTTTTGGTCTACGGATCGAATGAGAAACCACACAACCGATACTGAGGCTGGACCTTAGATCTGGGGAGTCTTTCCGTTCTTGCACATTATTTTCATCTTGTCACATTCGCTCTCTTTCTTTTTCATTTGAAGTTCTAATTGCTGTCATACCACCAAGAACGGAAGAAAAACTACCAAATTACGAGATAAGGAAACAAAGAAAAAAAGTCCTAAAACAAAAGGGTGATCCATGGATGTATCTCTTTCGACAACTGATTCCTTCGGCATCCCTATTATTGATTGTTCATTTGCCTGGCGTTGTATTGGCGCAGTCAAAGATCGGAACTGGTGGTTTTTTCAGCGAAGAGCTTATCTCATTCTCAGTCCCTTGATTACCTACCTGGCCATACCTCTTCCCTTTCCCGGAAGATTTTTACGAGTCACCATTTCTCTTCCCCCCCCCTTTTTTTTCACCTTCATCCGGAGGCACTTTTACCATGCATTTATTGTAAAAATAGAATTCCGGGCTGTGTCTGGCCCCTTGCTCTTGGAGATTAGCGCATCTGCGATTATGCAAGAATATCATGAGTCAAGTTCTAGATAGAAATCGTTACAATATTCTCATCAAATTACCCTGTGATTTGCCCTCTAGATCTTGGTTCGATTCCATGACGCGGCCGGAGAGTATGCCTTGTTTCATGTCAATGTTTCACATTGAATAACCCAATCCAGATGGCATCATTCATCTATCTCACCATGGAACCAATCACACTGGACACTCATGCACAGAAGCTCTACAAATTGAACCCTAAATTACAAGAAATACTTCATTTACGAAGCCAAGCAAAAGAAAGGAAAAGGGAAACAAAGGGAAACAACCCACCCCTAAGTCCTAGCTAGTTATTCCCTCTACCCTACAACAATAATTAAAACATTGAAATAGAAACTATAACTGAAACGTTTTCTTTTCGTTGGTGCAACTTTATTACATGTAACTGTATGTACATGTGTATGTACTACCAAGCTTCCCGCCCGGCTGATTTCGGATAAGGAAGTAAAGTATGCCGGAAACGGATAGAGTTCGACCTCTCAGCTTCATCATGACCGCCTCATGAGATCATACCATGTATTGTAATCATACTACGAGGTGCACCCTTGGGCTTTTTCTGTTCATCTTCGGATTTTGGTACGGTGGTGTTTCTTAGCTTAGGATTGGGGGTTTTCTATGATGAGGTGGTTGGGGTGGTGTGGTGGCTGGGCTTACAAATTACATACGTAGTAGTAATGGTAGTAGGTACTTCTGGTCTTTTGGGACCGACTGGATATTATGTATGTAATACGATATTGGTAAGAGTGCGAGTGTATGATTTTAGTTTAATTAGGTTTGCTTGCGGCTCTTGGTGATATGTGATTTGAGGGTTTTTTTTTGATGAATGGAAGTATATAGTATATACTTATTTAGATTGTTAAGGTTGTGCTATGTTATTGGGTTCTGATATTGCGGTTTTTGCTTTGAGGTGAGCTTTTAAAGTAGGGGATGAGATTTTTGTGTTTTTTTGTATGTATGTGGTAAAGAATTTCGGGGAAAGTATTGGGGGGAATCACCTCGTGTCTTCTTGATAGGGCTTGAGTAAATGGGTGACTGGTACTCTTGAATCCCTCGCTATGCACATAGCTATGGGTATATCAGTCCATGAAATAGGGTTGCAAGACGTACTCTATATTAGAGAGTCTGTTGTGGTTCGACTATTTATGGCCATCCCTGTATGTGGCGTGGTGAGAGAACAGGATCTGTTTCCTTTTATGGATGGTATGTATGTAATACTTTATGCTGGGTTGGGTCCTTTGCTCGGTGATATTCGTGTCAACTACGGTGGAAAGGCCGATAGAGATTCTAGATGGGTATGGCAAGTATGTAATACCATGACTGGTCCGGTATAGGGTTGTCGTTAGTATGCATGGGTAGCTTATGAGAAACATAATGGAAGCGCTCGATGTCGTTAACTCTTCTGGAAAATGGTTGAAGTGACTTGTTGGGCGACTGATGGTGTGCCCACCATCGTCTCACCCAAAGTAAAAGTCACAGACAATGATTCGAGGAAAGTATACCGAAGCCAAGTCAACAAGCACCAAAGAGAGATCTGACTGAGAAATATGAAGAGAGAGAGAGAGAGAAAACCACCGGGGGAGAGAATATCTACGCTGTATCAAGATCATCCCAATTATGGAGTTTGTCTAGTGACAGATTACCCAAATGGACCATCATGCCTTGCTAAAGGAGTTGAACTAACCGATTTTGAATATTATGTCCAAAGTTTTAAAAGTCTTTTTTTTTAAAAAAAAGAAAGAAAGAAATAAAAAATAAAAATAAAAGGTCTCATACTCCACGAGGAATAGGGACCTCGTGGGATTGACGTGTAACTTCAAACTGCATAAATAGGGTTAACAATGGTGGGTCATTGTTGGCTGGAGCACTTTGATATGGCTGGAATTATTGGATAACTAGCAGTAATAGTGACCACGGGGTGACTGGTCAGGGGATAGTAACTCTCTATAGGTATTGTTATGCTATTTATAAAGGAAACTAGTCATGAACGCCTGGGGTCAGTCACAATGAGGTATGTACAGGGAGGTGCCCTTGCTTTACGCTGCATCGTTCTCATGATCAAAGGTTATTGATCTGTGTTGCACTACATGGCGAGCGAATAGAGAAAGGGGAGATATGATAGGTATATTCGTTTCTATAGACCCATCATGTAGGTTAGAATCGTCCTTGAATTCCATAAGGGGGATGAAGAGAAAGCATGGAATGTGGTGGGGAGCTGACTCATCCTTTTCAGTGACTGAAAACTTGGTCCTGCTGATACCTAAGCTTAGTCTTGGTTTTCACGCACCAGGGACATCCTGGTCCGTATTTGCGTCCCCCATCCCAGAAAATCATGTGATGGATGGAAGATTTTGTTCCTTCTGTAGCTTGCTTTTTTTAGCCAATTGGTAAATCATCGTCACAACAATAAGAATCTACAGGTAATCAGGATCTTCAGGATAGGCCGCTTAACCCGATAAGACAGTGGAGTACACCGGTGGTACATTGGTCGCTGGTATTATTACACGGAAAAGTGGGGAATGTGAGTTGGCTTCCGGATCGAATCCTCGATGCTTCCCAGCGGCTGAGCCAATTATAGGAGCTGCCAAGGTTGCTGTGTGCTCCACCGTTGGGTCTGGACAAACTTAGTAATTTGTTACCGTCATTTACGGAAGTGTACTCAGGAGGCTTGAATCGAAAGAAAAGGAAAAGCGACGGATCTGAGGGAGGCATGACAGGTCGAGGAGAGTGCATTCGACTCCCATACTATAGGGGTCATACTAGTAGCCATTCAGCTTTTCTCTGCCGGCTGATACTGGTTCTTCGGAGCAAAATCCATGGACTGCAGCAGGGCGGTGGTACGGTAAGGAGGTAATGGGCAGTACTGCACACGTGACAGACCGCCTGCCTGTCCCAACCGGCACTTTGCCTTCTTCGAACTCCTCCTCCCCGTTTCTCTTTCCTCTTCTTGTCCTGAACCCAAACCCTGCGAAGCAAACGCGTTACTCGATTTGGTCATTCTTCCTCCCCCTCAAAAGCATCATTCCTCTTTGGGCATCTCTCTTCACTTCCCCCAGATAGTCCCCATTACCTGCTTCTTCACATTACTCTATATTTTCTTTCGCCCCTTCCCCCGCCGTTCTACCCTTGTTCCACCATGGCCGACATCACTGCCGTCGGTGAGGAGAACCCTTCTCCTACCCAGGATGACCTGCAGCAGGCCGCCGGTAACGGCGCCGCTGACAACCGCGGCACCAAACGTTCTCGTATGAGCGCCGACGACGACGACGACGATGACGATAAGCCCGGTCGCGAGCGCAGAAAGATTGAGATCAAGTTTATCCAGGATAAGTCGCGTCGCCACATCACTTTCTCCAAGCGGAAGGCGGGTATCATGAAGAAGGTACGTGCTGTCGCGTCTCCATACCTTCATTGTTTCTTTGTTTCCTCGACCTCTCGCCCAGCCATTCTCTTTTGTCTACGTTCAATTCTTCTTTTTTATCCGCGTATAATCCAATTGTCGTGTGTGCATTGACCCCCCGAATCGCTAACGGTTTCATTGCGGTCGCAAAACAGGCATACGAGCTTTCGGTCCTCACGGGCACCCAAGTGCTATTGCTGGTCGTGTCCGAGACTGGTCTCGTCTATACTTTCACCACCCCTAAGCTTCAACCGCTGGTGACGAAGGCTGAAGGCAAGAACCTCATTCAGGTGAGTGTGTTGAATTAGCAGAGTGACGTGAACGATGCACTTTAGCTGACCTCTCGTATGACAGGCCTGTCTGAATGCCCCGGATCCTACCACCAATGAGAACGGTGTCGAGACCGGTGATGTACCGACAGAGACGCCAGAGGATGTCGCCGCCCACAGCAATGTCAATGCTCAGCAGCAGAACATTCCTCGCCCTGCGGGCATGCACCCAGGGTACATGACCAACGAACAACAGCAGCAGATGGCTTACTACCAAAACCTTCAGCAGCAGCAACAGCAAGCTGGTGGGCAGTACCCTGGAATGCCTGTGGGCAACCGGATGCCCCCTCAGCATCAACCCACTGCATAGACAGTGCTCTCCTTTCTCCTTCATATGTTCTCAGAAGCCGCGGAGTCCAGATGTTTGTTGTTTCGCGTCCTCGTTAACTTCAGCATGTACACCCCCGCTCCATCGGCTTTCCTTTGATACCCAACGAATTCTGGATTGTCTTGCCAAGCAATTGATGCTCTGAAAGCGGTTTTCGTCGTATACCAGCAACGCAACATGAACTCCCAAGGTGCCTTAACTTGTAACCTGTGTATATCATGAGCCGTCGACGCGACGTTGAGGGATTTGCGGCGCTGTTTCCGGTGTTGGCAAGATTCCAGTTCTCTTTATACCGAAGTCTTATCAGACAATGGGTAAAAAAAAAAAAAGAAAAGAACAAAAAAAAACTCGGAAAAAAAAGTTCAACTGACGATGAAACACGAAGGATGCAAGCGCTTGGTTCTGGGCTCCGAAGCTATTAATTGTTTTCTTCACGTTCATCTATTATTTGCTAGACGACAAGTGGAAGTGGCGGTGTTACTGGTGCTTTTCATCTCTTCTCTTTACTCCTGGCGAAGTGGTTTACAATGTTTTCATCCTTAATTTGCGTTTCGACCCGCTTTTGACTAATTTTCGATTCATTTCTTATCTATTTCCCCCCTGTGCGTCGTGCTGTACTCCTTGCATGCGTCCCATTATAAAACGCTGGCTTACTCGACCAGTGAAACTCCGCTGCTCAGGGAGTAGCAAATAGGGGAAAAGCGTGTAGGAGTCAGGCACGAATTTCTTTGATTTGATTGAGTAACTGATGTGATATTGGAATGGGTTCCCTTCACCGGGTAGGAAGTATGTCTCATGTATGGTATGGAGAAAATTGGAGCTTTTCTTTTGTCTCATTCTGTAACTGAATAAGCAAGGGTGCAGTACTACTCCTACGCATAATATTACCACTTCTGCTGGGTCTCACTAAATGTTCAGTCTTCGGTTGAAATCCGAATTTCATTCCCTAGTCTGCAGCGACAAGAACAAATGCTGAAATAAAAGCCTAAAATGAATCTAGCACCAATCTAATCAATCCAAGGTATCATGATATGATATAAAAAGAGAACCAATGAAAAGCCAAGCCCGTCCCATGCCTAGTCAGTGACTTATCCCCAAAATCCGAAGTAGTGAAAAGTCACCTATCGTTCCTGCCATGAACATGTCGATCACGGATGAAACACTTTAGACTCTGTTTGATTGATCCGATGTGGTGAACAGAAGAAAATCAAACCAGATAAAATATGAGCATGGTTTATAAGCAGGTATGATATAATGTAATATAATGTACACTGGATATGGGGATTAAGCAGTGGCCACTCTTTCTTTCTTTGCTTGAGATGATTCCACTGTTGACGGCGGATGCAGGCATGATGGGGGTTATCTATCTGTATGATTGTCCGGGTTGTGTTCGGGATCGTGAGGTCTGCTGCTTCCCCGTTGACCGGTTAAGCGTGAGAGGTATCGTAGACCGCTTCGCCAGGCGTTACCTAGAGTGCCACCCCTCGAGCCTGCGAGAGGTTTTGTGCCTGGGTCGGTGAGCGCGTGCGCTGGTGGTGGTTCGCGGGACGACGGGGTATCGGAGCGATTATCCTGGGTGCCGTAACCGAGGCCAGGGATGTCAAAGAAAGAAGGGCCGTAGGTGCGTCGCTTTTGAGGGGCTCCATGATTGTCGGGACCAGGGGCTGAGGTTCTTCGCTGGTGTCCAGCTTGGAAGTTGGATAGTCGAGATCTGCGGGGATTCCATGTATGTTGGTGTTGTCCACGCAGGGAGGCGTCTTTCAAAGTGATGGACTTGGCCTTGCCTCTTGGTCGGGTTTGAAATGGGTCGGCGGAGAGCCGTTTGAGTAGTGTCCGAGAGTCCGGATCAGCATAATCATAATCTGACTCGTCAAGTTCTGCCCAGATGGATGCAGGATCCATGTCCACGGAACTCCCTTGCGGTGTAAGTAAAGGTAAACTAGGGGTCCGTCGGTGGGAGGCTCCTCTGTGAGGAACTTTCCATAAAAGTGGTTCGTGCTCCCCGATCTGGTCTTCTTCGTCTTCTGATCCCGGTGCAACAGATGAGCGTGGGTGTTCCTCGACGACAGCCATTCCGGGACCCAACGCGGTCTGAGAAGGCCCAACAACCGTTACAGCAGCATGACTATCAATGACTTCTAGCCGCCATGAGAGACACAGTACTCCACCTAGCAACACGATTGTGCCTAGTGCGATAAGTCCAGCATGAAATCCTGTCAGTTGAGACATTTGACGAAAGTAGATGAGACCGTCTAGAATGGCGATAATGTTGTAAATGCAAAAGACAAACGGGTAGAGGACGCTAGTGCTGCACAGCTTCAGGCCTCGGTGCAGGTAGAACAGCTGTGTGAGAGCAAGCGCGATCATTGCAATCAAAATGACCCATGACTGCCATCGGTTGAACTGATTTACACGGTCCACAACCGTCCGCACAAGCAGTTCAACAGCTGATTTGGCGAAAAGTAGCGAGTGTGCCGACAGAATGCCGCTTACAAGGCCATAGCTTAGTCCACGTATCAGCCGAGTGCGACCCTGGGTCAATGGTAGATGTGGCGCATAAGAATGGCGGGCACTCGAGTATTTGAAACGAGCCGGGGACGTGAAGTACTTCAGAAGTCTAGAACTAAGCAAAATGACCAGCACCAGTACCGCAGTTCCAATCATCCAAAGAATAAAGTTTCGACGCTGAAGGAGTTCTAAGAGTTGATCGAGGGTGTGCGCAGGCTCCCCAATGGCCCCGAAGGTCGCTATAAGAACAGCGCCAATGCAGACCAGGATAGTACCTACAAGGGAGTATCTGGTGAACGCCTCTCCTAGAATCAAAGTGGCAAAGATGGTATTAAAGACGAGTCCAGACTGTTGTTTGCCTTATTAGCAAGGCCCTAGGGGCGCCTAGGAATGGGGAGGCACTGACAGCTTGGAGTGTCGATAATACCGGAAGCGGAAGTGTAGTGATCTGGATCGTACTTCCAACGATGTTCGAGATGACGAACATTAGCATGCCCAGCTGTAGAATATCAGCATTGACCCTCGCCCAATTCAAGAGCCACAGCATACCTGCCATCTTCGACGCTTGTAGGGTGGCCTGCGTATATCGTAGGGGTGTTTCTCATCTTCAAGGAGGTGCGACTTGCGCTGGAGGGTCAATCCAATGGCCTGTAAACTGGTCGAGACTAATCCGACGACGACTCCGACCTACTACCACAATATTGGTCAGTACATTGGCTATTAAGTGTCGGTAGAGATACACCGCGGGGAAACAGACCGCGACGCTCCCCTGTGGGGACAGGTCACCTAGATTGCCCATCACGAGTATCTTCGTGCATTGGTCGTTGAGAGGGGGACGGAAGACCAGACACCGCGGTACATTAAAGAGGATGGGGTAGAATCCGAAGTATCATCGCCATATTCTGTAAATGGGAAATAGCAAGGAAGGTGGAAGAGTTGAAGGGGGGGAGGAAAATAAACGGGTGGTTCTAGGGCGATGTAATCGAGACCAAGTCGAGTGACCAGGAGTGATCTCATGGGGTGCAGGAAGCCGTAGTTCCTGAGGCGCCAACTCGCTATGACCAACTGACCCGATCGTCACCAGATCCGCTGCGTACAAACCTCTCCCCCCATTCACCTGCTACTTGTTTAGAAGCTCCTCCTCCCCCGGCCCCGCCAACTATTTACACTGGTAAGCATTCTTTTTACTCTATTTTTATCTCTCTAGAGCGCTGATTACTTCTCGTGCCTCCTCATATTACATGCCAATGCTGACTTGGTCATGGTTCTAACCCCCCAGGAACCACCTCCGCACCGGGAAGCTTGACTTGCGCTGCCTCATCCCCACATCCTTCAACTCCCTCTAGTACCGGTGTTTTGATATTACCCGATATCGCCAGCAAAGATGTCACAAAGCCATGCTCTTTCCGACGATCAGGTACGCAGCCTCCGAAACATGAGATGCTTGTTATACCCCGGGCTCATATCGTCTCCGAACAGGTCGCGGGCGAGCTCCGCAAGATGACGGCCTTCATCCGCCAAGAAGCGCTGGAGAAGGCTCGTGAAATCGAACTGAAGGCCGACGAAGAATTCGCCATTGAGAAGTCGAAGCTTGTCCGCCAGGAAACCGCCGCTATCGACTCTTTGTACGAGAAGAAGTTCAAGCAGGCTGCCATGTCCCAACAAATTACCCGCTCTACCCTTTCAAATCGTACTCGTCTTCGTGTTCTTTCCGCTCGTCAGGAACTCCTCGATGAGCTGTTCCAGCAGGCTCGCGATAAGATCTCCGGCATCGCAGCCAAGGATGCTAAGAAGTACGAATCCGTGCTGCAGGGATTGATCCTCGAGGGCTTGTACGCTCTCAACGAGGAGAATGTGGCCATTCGTGTGAGACAGAAGGACTCCGAAGCTGCAAAGAAGGCGATCGAGGGAGCCACGAAGGAATTCAAAGACAAGGTTGGCAGAGACGTTACGGTGGAGATAGATGAATCCGAGCCTTTGCCGGAGGGATCGTAAGTTCTAATCTTGGTTTTTTTTTTTTTTCGCTTTCTGCCGTACTATCTCTAACGTATATCTGCAGTGCCGGAGGTGTGGTCATTGTTGGTGGTAACGGTAAGATCGAGATTAGCAACACTTTTGAAGAGCGCCTGCGGTTGCTCGAGATCGATGGTCTTCCCGCCGTGAGGGAGACACTGTTCGGGAAGAACGTAAACCGGAAGTTCTACGATTAGACTAATACCTGTCCTGTTATTTATTTGGCGCTAAGTTCGTTATCGCTGATTCTTGTATCTATGTGTCTTTGATTAACGCTCCGCGTGCGGAGAACAGCGTAGCCCTGTCTACATCTCTTACCATTCTCTCGCGGACTTCCAGTAACGTTGACTTGGGTCTCAAGCTACCCTACAATAGGATTAGGCAAGGGAAAACAGTATCACAGTAAAGACATCGGCTGTTGCTATCAAGATCATATCAGTCGTGATTTCCTTTTATTATGTGGTGGCTTTGGTGTTTTTGGTCATGCCCCTGGCTGACCAATCCCAGTATAATAGTGGCTCTGAAAATCTCTCAGGCTCTTGTACATTAATTGCTTGACATGCACTGCATACATGTTGGTTTATGACCTGAATATTTTGCACAGAAAACAGCTACCAGGGGATACAGCCAGTCAAGGACTAGCCATCATGGCGAAGTTTCGTGTTGTCGAATGGGGATACCGGGATCTTGTTTGGTCTTCGGAACCTTCCACTGGTCAAATACGTTTTTATTTTGGCGATCAACCCCATTCTCTCCGAATATAGACTTCTTTGGGCGCGGCTTGGTCCTGACAGAGTATATGATGCGGTAGTGCAAGGCTTCGAGGGCTTCCTTTGCGAGAGTCCGTTTGAGATGAGACGCACCCGAATCTTCGATGGAAGTGAATATCCTCTTGATCCGGTCCGCGAGAACGTCGACTTCAGAATTAAATTTCCTCTTTTCATCTTTGCTCGAGAAGTCCATGCTGGACCAGCCGGAATCGATAGCAATGTTAAGGATGGCGGTTATAGCCATGAGTTCTCCGTAGTCATATTCGGGCTGGCCTTTCGTTTTATATTGCTTCACATCAAACCGTTTGTCTTTAAGGACATTAATTATCCGTTGTAGGTACAACACCACATCAGGCTCTTCAGTTAGAGCGGAAGGATCGCTAGTTAAGAAAGCAATGGCGAGACGGCATCGCAGCATTGCAATCCAGCTTGAGGTTGGCAAGATGTGCGTCAGAAGGCGGCTTTGGAAGACTGCATCTTTGATCGTGTCATAGGCAGACACGCAAACGCGATATACCTAAGAAACATTAGAAAAGTTTCTTTCGTATCGTAGCACGCTAAATAGAGCCTTACCAGTTCATCGGCCGTGTCTTTGGGGATACTCTCTAAAAACGCAGTTATAGTTCTCTCCAGTTCCGAACAGATCATGGGGTGTCTGGTTAATGAGGCATCAAGGGAAAGACGAAAAAGTATATGTAAAATGTGCTCTCTTGTATCATCAGAGAAACTATCACAACGTTAAGGAGCGTCCAAATTTTAGGTGATTCAACACTGACCGATCTGCTGCTCCACGAAGTAAGTTCAGAATAGACAACAAAGCAGCTTTATGCTGAGGGGCTCCTCTCAGAGAACTATCTATATGAAGTTAGTTTTGAAAAAGCATTTAGAAGAACGGGACTTGGAAAGCATATCCTCACTTTTTGGGAGTGCATCTGGGACTATAACTTCAGCAAATGTCAAGGCCTTCTGATTTGCGCCGATCCGTTGGAAAAGGGAGTCGATGGTGTCTGGACGCACCAGTGACTGTATACGTTCTGCACCAGAGTTCTTTTAAAACACTTCAGCATGTAATATTTCTTCAACTCAAGGCATAGTTTGACAAACCTTGAATGCCCTGCAATAAACGTTCCTTAGACCATCTCGAGACTCCGAGGGTACTATAGTATATAAGCATAATGCCAACACAGTCATTCATGTTAACGAACGAACCAGAATTAAACATCCACATCACCAGTTCATCAGGCAAGAGCCCCCTGGACAGTGCGAAATCGACAAACCCTGAGTGGAGCGCTCGTTCCCTCGATTCGGGTTCTGCGAATTGATTAGACATAGGATCGGGAGGAATAGGCCATGCACAAACCTCTTAGCACAGATAAATAAGATTTTGCTGCTATAGAACTTCGGGGAAACACCGGAGGAAGAACTAATTCACTTCCATAATCGAAGAAGAACCAGGACTTCTCCATGTCAAACGCTTCCGTCCTCCGGACAGCATCAAGTAGACGCCGCAGCCCTGTTTCGTCATTATTGTCGTCGAGAGCCGACGCGAGGATGCCTTCATGCAGCTGTCTGCTCCGATTAAGTGAACTCGGAGCTGTCCCGGGCTTCGACGCGCCTTCCTCAAAGGCAGCTCTAAGCTTGGCAATGTCGGCCTCCGTCTCGTTATCATCGACAGCTTGAGTAACGAGACTATCAATGCTGTGTTTGTAGCTCGGGGCGGAAGCGTGACTCGGTGAAAACTTATTGGGTTTCACCTCATCTTTTGATCGACGGGAGCGTAAAGTCCTCCCGTGGCTAGAGGAATCATTGTATGTTTCCTCATTTGTCGAGCTATCATTTGGTTTCGCAAATTTTAGAAAAAGAGAGTCTGGATTTTCAAACTCGCTTGAGTCCGTGTCCTCGCCATCGGAGCTAATTACAACTTCTCTTCCGTTCTTGACAACGCGCTGAGGCAAATGAAAGACAGGGGGCAATGTAGGATCAGAAGCCGCTGTTTCAGCACTTTGAGAACTCCGTGAAGGCTGTGTGTTCTCTGCAGAATCCGTGACTGAGAGTAACAATGACTGTCTCAACTGCAATCCTGGACCGTCTAAAGTCGGCGGGGATCTATTATTTGATGTAAAGGATGATGGCGATTCAGAGAGGGGAGAAGACTGAGAGGCTACAGCAGGAGTTTCATTTGGATCCTCGTACCTAGGGTCTCTGCTAGCTGAAAAATCTGGGCGTTTAAAATACTGTCTGATGCTCGATCGCGGAGGCATGTCGGGCATCCTGAGGAAGTTTGATATGGAAATTGGCCCGCATGCACGGCTCTGATAGCTGGACATCTTGGCGCTAAACCTTATGTGGAGAGGCTAAGTTCGCGCTAGTGTGAAATAAAGTACCACTTTCTCTCTATTACGGGTAAATGGCCATCCAGATACTTGTCGACAAACGTGATATCCAGCTCTCGACTCGTTTCATCGCTTGAGCGGTTAGGGATGTCTATGGAGCATATACTGTGGTGGGGATCTTCGTCAAGTCATAAGGCTTAGTTTCGGTCTAAGATCATCTTGTGTGTGTGAGGGGCATTTTCACTTTCTTAATGATCTTTTCGCACTACCCACGTATCGATTACCTCGTCTTTTTTGTCCTTTCTTTCCCTTGTGTCTCGGTTTTCGGTTTATATGTTTGTGGGGGGGGAGGGAGATACTTCCGCGTAACGGTCAACTTATAGACAAGCGCTCTGCAGGAAATATATCTTGGCCTATGAACGGAGTATATCGCTGCCTTCCTGTGGCATGATATATAAGATAGAACGGTTCTGCCTGGACCTGGAGTAATTTAATGCGATAGATCAATGCTCAGTTCTGTCATTTTGCGTCTTGCTATATAGTGTTGGCAACCGACGCCGTATATTAGTCGCTCCTTAAGTAATTTATGCAATTCCTGATGAAACAACTATCATCAGTTACTGTTCTTTCCCTTCACCCTTTACCAAGTCACTGGTGATTCTGCCAATCACTCGTATAATAATTTAAAATTAAAAGTGCCTATGCTGACTTTGAGCCTGGAAGAAACCATCTGGGTCACCTGGATCTTGATCGTGTACCGCATGACATCGTTCCTTCAATCCGATAATACTTGAGAGCGTCCAAGGGGATATAAAATCACGCACTATGGCCACTCGTTTTAGTTTCGCGAAGTACCTTGGTTATCTCCTTTACATTACGGAGTAGTCAAAAAAGGAACGAAAACTCTGCATGTAAAGCTCCGTACATTTACGTACCAGGCGAGCTCTAGCATGTCAACTAGGTAATATAGATACAGGATACTCTAGATAATCTCTCAACATAAATAGATCATATAAAACTCCTATTTTGGGAATCAGGGGCATATTTCAAAGACTTACCTATTGAAACTGAAGGTATAATACTGAAACGCCATCTTCCAAAATTGAACTATGTTAGACCCCTAAAAGGGACTTTGTCCCTGTATATATCATGACTTCAATTGGGCATCTACGAAGCACGAAGTGAGTTCAACATCTAAGTTAAGCTTTAATAAATGCCACTGATCTGGCCTGGGGTAAAAAATTGGAGATCATAATTAGGTACTAGTAAGAGTCTCGGACTTTAAAGTGTGCGTACCTAGTAGACAAAGTTCGCCGACAAAGGAAAATGAGAAGGGAAAAAGATTCAAAAAACAAGATTGAAAGAGAAAAACTTGAAATGAAAAGAGGAGGACATGGCTTTGATCAACATAAGACCTCGTTAACTGTCATTTGGGGGTAATAGTTACATAGTAGTCGAAGCTAATGACTGCTTTTGGTAGATTTAGTCCCTTTCTAAAGCTGCGTAACTATTGATGCTGGAGAAGCCCCCACTTGATGAGACATTCCAATCTTAACACTAAAACATATATCGAGAAATCTATTTCAAGATGCCTCCTGATACATACAACAGGCTCCATCTGTTGGTGTTGTAACCTTAATATAGGTAAATGTACCATCCAATAGGAGAATAGGAGTAACCCTTCTCGGTAGGTATGTGCATACAACCCGTCCCGACTCCTCCAGGTATAACGTAATGTACATACTAACTATGCAGAAGACATGTCTGACCTAATCATGCACTGCCCCCCTTGAGTGGTGCAGATTGCTTATCGTTTGAAAGTTTCCACCTGTCCTTTGTATCGGGGCAAGTTTAGGGGGTACAGAAAAATGCAGATCTATCTTAGGTTTGGGTAGTAGTACACCTTGCACTTGGTTCCCCACAGCAGTTCGCGGCCGATCTGACTGTCTGACGCAAATCCATCACAGCCAACGACTCGAGATCGAGGATCCACATTATATAATCATGGAAGAGCGACGGATTCCGATTGTGTTCAAATTGAACAAGACTCAGCTGACTGGCTCATTGCTTTTAATAATAATAATAGGGGCTAGATGAAAACCAATTAAAGCCTCTGGATGTCGAAGAAGGATTATGATATGGCGGCAAAGGAGGAAGTAAGAAGGGGAAAAAAATTATTGATTGTCGTAGACTACCTTTCTGTGTCGGCTAATTTTGCAAATTGTGATTTGCAACGTACAGTAACTATGGAGTACGGATTACTTGCGAGATAATTAATGTATGCAAAATCTGGCAGGCGGTGCGGCGCGTTTTGCCCAATTCAGGTAACAAATTGATAAGATTATGGCAGTGAGAAAGAAAATTCCTCAGTTTTCTATTATCTTGTGTAAGAAAACCTACGTAGTTGATGACAGGAGCATTGATCATGCCTCGCGTACAAACTTTTTCCCTCTCTTTTTTTACCACAAATTGGGTTCGTCGGAACGATTTCGAGAACAGCTGGCGGGCGATCATCTCTTCTGCTCCGCAACGAGCCAGAGTCCGCAGCAACTACACGCAAGTTGGAGCCACACCATACTCCATTCAGTAGTTAGCTTGAAAAAGGCCAAGACGGGAAAAGGAGAAGGGTGAAAGTAGATAGATGGAAAAGGGGGTGGAAAGAGCATCAAATCATGGAATTCCGATCCCCCCTTATAGAAATGGTTACATCTTACTTTTGGAAGCCAAGTGGGATAGGGATAGCCGTTGGGTATAATTCTGGACTTATGCACTGTCCATGTATGTATGCCTAGATTTTTCTGACGCGAGAACTACAAACAGTTAGGGTAAGGAGGGCCGGAGTACAGAGATGTCTCATGCTTATGGATTAGGGACGGAGAAAGCATGTGCCGTCCAAGACGGCCTTTAGCCTGTTTCAGGCCCCATTCTCCGAGAAAATGCTCTCCCCCCAAATCTAAAGTGGATGACATGTTCTGTTCCATGGAAGCCTTCATTTTTGCAGGATGGCGTATACTCTCCGTAATTCCGTACCCTAAAACCTCACTGCCACTCGAGAGAAGAGATTTACGCGGTATAGAGCACAATAGAAGGGGTGGACAATGGATTATTCACTAACATTCTACATTTTCTTCTACTTTTCGCTAATAACATTCCAGGCTTCTTCTTTCATTCTTTTTGTAGCTTAGTATACATGTTCTTGCTGTATAGTAAGCAGAACGCACAGTAAGAAAAAGACGTCCTTATCCACAACCCACTTGATCTCGTATAACACAGCCTTATAACCTTAAGCCTTGCTCCATTTTAAATTCTTTTTTGAGAATTTCTCCCTAACTGACATGTTGTCCAAATCGGAGGCCCGAAATAACCGCGCGGGATGGCCTCGGTACTCCGTTCCTTATTCTATTAATTGGCATGCGGATATTGGTAAGATGTCAATTAAATCACTTGCCGCTCTGTCGAGCCCGTCCTCCGTCTTCCGTAGACCCTTTAAGGAAAGTTCGCGTAAGTGATTTTTAAGACTCGCCTCTTCCGAAATGCCGAACCCTGAATTCAGTACAGATGGTCCTTGCCACCGATAGTAAGAGTTTGAAGGAGAACCAAATTATGCTGCTTACAGTCCATGGTGAGGCTGGCATCACGGCTCGTGGGAGGTTCCTGCATTCTGCTGGTAAATTACGGTAATCGTTACGGCCGATTCATATCTAGATCCTACGTCAGTGACGGATAATCTACGGAGTAGATATCGATTCAATGTTGGGAAGGAGATGAGGAAGCGATATTTTATAAGCAATTGAATAAAGATAATGGGATTGTACTTCAGAGCAGATATTGGATGTATATGCTTTATGTAGATGAAACACTCATGGAAAATTTGGCATCACTAAAGGTACCACTATGATGATCACTTTCATCTTAATAATTGAAAACTTACGCGTTCTTTGGTTCGGACTTTACCATACCGGACTGGAAACAACGTCCATGCCGCCGATCCGCAGCTTTGCTGCGGCGTATTGGATTGGTAATATACACTCCTCGTTTCCCGGGGCTTCCAAGAGGGAGGGATTGGCAGAGACACTGTCCCTAAGTCCTTCTACTTACTTTCCTTCTTACACTTTCCCCTCTGGAGGATCGATCCTCATCGCCTGGGATTTCTTTAGCGCTTTTCGTCCTGTATATTGTTTCTTCTATGTTATACGCATGGCCTGTTGCGGGTAATCCGACCTTCTCCCCCTCCCCCGTTTGTTCGCCATCCTACTTGCCCCCATCACCGTGTTTGGGACTCTTGGTAACTTAACTCCAATCTTCCCGCTTCCCTTCAGCGCCTCCCGGAGATCTTTTACCACGCTGTCAATCGCGATATACTCGACGTATTCTCCCGCACTGTTTAACCATTCCGCCGTCCTCCGCGCTGAAACTAAACGAAGGATTCGCGAACTGGCTGCGCTATCGTCTTTCGGCTCATTGGAGCGGATGCTCTCCCTCCACCTTCTAAGCACAGAACGGACACACATTGCATGCCCTCTCGAGGGCTAGAAGTAGCCTAAATGGCTTCCGATCATCTCTCCCCGGAGAGCGCCTTGCCTGGGAATGAGGTTCAGGAAGTGAGCAGTAATATCTCCAAGCCGACCCAACGACAACGATGGGCAACCCAGCGGGTTGCGGGCGCCGGAGGTGTGCGGAAACGCGTTTCTATTATGGATCGCTTTAACAAGCGCTCGGAAATGAAGGATGAGAAGCGAAAATCAACATCAAGCAATCTTCCTACTGCAGAGAACCCGAATGCCGAAGGCAATGCAGATGCCAGCAATAGAAGAATATACTTCAATATTCCTATCCCAGAATCAGAAAGAGACGAGGATGGCCACCCCAAGGCGATTTACCCTAGAAACAAAATTCGAACTGCGAAATATACACCGCTGTCTTTCGTGCCAATGAATATTTGGCTCCAGTTCCACAACATCGCGAACATCTATTTCTTGTTCATCATTATCCTTGGGGTATGGTTTACCCCATCTATCGCACAGACACCCTTTAAACTAACAATCATGTTTAGTTCTTCTCGATCTTCGGTGTCGATACTCCCGCCCTTAACACAGTTCCCTTAATCGTCATCGTGGTAGTCACGGCCATTAAAGATGCTATCGAGGATTGGCGGCGTACAGTAGTCGATAATGAAGTCAACAATTCCCCCGTATACCGCTTGGTCGAATGGAACAACGTGAATTCAGTCGAAGACAATGTCTCTCTGTGGCGTCGATTTAAGAAAGCGTGTACTCGGGCGACTATTTGGACATACCGAAAGATCAAAGGCCTGGCTCAAAAAAACAAGAAGCTTCCCGAGCCTGCTGACGAGGATCGGCGTGCATCTTTTATGACTATGGCGACCCCACGGGCATCTATGTATTCTCAACGAGGGGACGGCGGCTTGGCAGACGAAGCTATTCAAATGACCCCGGTTCCATCACCAACGCCCGAGGCGCGTCCAGACTGGCCACTCGCAGCCGAAGAGCACAGTCAGTATCTGCATCCGGACAAAGCGGCTCGAGGCAGTGTCGCGGTGCCGTCCAGTACTGCTACCCCACCAAGAAAGGGCGGGAGTGTCGTGGACACGTCCAAGCAGATAACTGGAAAAGCTAGGTTTAAGCGCGACTTTTGGAAAAGCGTACAAGTGGGGGATTTTGTGCGGCTGTATAACGGAGATCCCGTCCCAGCCGATGTTGTGGTGTTGTCAACCTCCGACCCCGACGGTGCATGTTACGTGGAGACTAAGAGTCTGGACGGTGAAACCAATCTCAAAGTTCGACAAGCTCTCAACTGCGGACGTCAGGTTAGACATGCTAGAGATTGTGAGAGGGCCGAGTTTGTGATTGACAGTGAACCGCCGCATCCCAATTTGTATGCCTATAGCGGTGCGCTACGTTGGGACCAGCGTGATCCTGATTTCCCTGAGGCACCCCGAAAGGAAATGGTGGAACCTATCACGATCAACAATATACTACTACGTGGCTGTTCCCTGCGCAATACCGAATGGGCTCTTGGTGTTGTCCTTTTCACCGGTGATGAGACGAAAATTATGCTGAACTCAGGTGTGACACCCAGTAAGAGGGCTCGCCTTGCTAAGGACCTTAACTGGAACGTTATATACAACTTCATTATATTGTTCTTTATGTGTCTCATCTCTGGAATTGTCAACGGCGTCGCGTGGTCCTCAAGTGATAAATCTCTCAATTACTTCGATTTTGGCTCCTATGGAAGTACTCCGGCAGTCACCGGCATCATCACTTTCTGGGTCGCTCTTATCTTATTCCAGAATTTGGTCCCGATCTCGCTCTATATCTCCCTCGAAATCGTCCGCACGATTCAGGCTGTCTTCATTCATAGTGACGTGTTCATGTACTACGACAAACTGCAGATTTACTGTGTCCCGAAGTCTTGGAACATCTCGGATGACGTCGGGCAAATCGAGTACATCTTTTCAGACAAGACGGGTACCCTGACTCAAAACGTTATGGACTTCAAGAAATGCACTGTTAATGGGGTTTCATATGGCGAAGCGTTTACTGAAGCACAGATCGGCATGGTACGGCGAGAAGGGGGAGACGCTGATGCTGTTGCTGCTAGAGAGCGAGAGAGGATTGCTACCGATACGACTAGAATGCTTGAAATTATACGAAAGATACACGATAATCCCTATCTGCGCGATGAAAGCTTGACTTTCATATCATCAAATTACGTTGCAGATTTGGCAGGCCAGTCAGGTGAATCCCAAAGGAAAGCTACGGAGCATTTTATGCTTGCCCTTGCAGTCTGTCATACTGTAATCACCGAGCATACACCTGGTGATCCTCCGCAGATCGAGTTCAAAGCACAGTCGCCCGATGAGGCGGCTTTGGTCGGCACTGCTCGAGATTGTGGGTTCACCCTTCTTGGGAGATCGGGTGACGACCTTGTATTAAACGTCATGGGCGAAGAGAGGACATATACCGTGCTCAATACTCTTGAATTCAACTCGTCCAGAAAGCGGATGAGTGCGATCATCCGTATGCCTGACGGCCACATACGACTCTTCTGCAAAGGCGCGGATAGTATTATCTATTCACGTTTGGCTCCAGGAAAGCAGCAGGAGCTTAGAAAGAAGACTGCTGAGCATCTTGAAATGTTTGCTCGTGAAGGTTTGCGGACTCTGTGTGTCGCAGATCGTGTACTCAGCGAAGAAGAATACCGGGCCTGGAGTAAGGAACACGACATTGCCGCTGCTGCACTCACCGATCGCGAGGAAAAGCTTGAGCAAGTCTCCAGTAATATAGAACAAGATCTCATGCTTATCGGAGGGACTGCTATTGAAGACAGACTCCAAGATGGCGTTCCCGATACCATCTCTTTGTTGGCAGATGCTGGTATAAAGCTGTGGGTCCTGACTGGCGACAAGGTGGAGACTGCCATAAACATCGGATTCTCATGCAACCTTTTGGATAATGATATGGAATTGATCGTCTTCAATATTCCAGACAATGAACCGCAACGCGCGGCGCAAGAACTTGACCGGCAGTTACAAAGATTTGGAATGACAGGATCCGACGAAGAGCTTCTGGCCGCCCGTCAAGATCATTCGCCACCGGCACCAACACATGCCATAGTTATTGATGGCGAGACCCTCAAGCTGATGCTTGATGATGAACTAAAGCAAAGATTTCTACTATTGTGTAAACAATGCAAGTCTGTCTTATGCTGTCGAGTGAGTCCTGCTCAGAAAGCTGCAGTCGTACGGATGGTCAGGAACGGCCTTGATATCATGGCTCTTTCAATCGGCGATGGTGCCAACGATGTTGCTATGATCCAGGAGGCCGACGTCGGTGTTGGTATCATTGGTGAAGAAGGCCGACAGGCAGCGATGTCCTCTGATTATGCCATTGGACAATTTCGGTTCCTTCAACGGCTTATCCTTGTCCATGGACGATGGTCTTACCGCCGCATGGCGGAGACCATTGCGAACTTCTTCTACAAGGTATGTTCTATTTTCGTATGCCTGTTATGGTATCCATTCGGATTTGACTAACAATTTCCCAGAACTTAGTATGGACGATTGCACTCTTCTGGTATTCAATCTACAATGACTTTGATGGCTCCTACCTCTTTGACTATACCTATATCGTCCTGGTTAACGTGGCGTTCACATCACTGCCCGTCATCCTAATGGGTATTTTTGATCAGGATGTCGACGACAAAGTCTCATTAGCCGTTCCACAACTGTACATGAGAGGTATAGAGCGGAAGGAATGGTCTCAGCTCAAGTTTTGGTAGGTTGCCTAGTGGATTAATTCTTTAGTCCTTGCTAACGCGTTCTAGGCTGTATATGCTCGACGGCTTTTACCAATCCATCATTTGTTTCTACATGCCGTATCTTTTGTACAACTCGGCGACTTTCCAACACTCTAATGGGCTGGATATCAATGACCGGACCCGGATGGGTGTCCTCGTCGCCACTAGCGCGGTCATCGCTAGTAACACTTACATCATGCTGAATTCGTATCGGTGGGATTGGCTGACGACCTTGGTCAATGTTATCAGTACACTCTTGATCTTCCTTTGGACTGGTATCTACTCGTCGGTTTCTGCTTCAGCTCAGTTCTACAAATCCGGCGCCCAGGTTTACGGGGCTTTGTCTTTTTGGGTCGTGCTTCTTCTAACTGTCACGATATGCCTCCTTCCCCGGTTCACGTTCAAAGCCTTCCAGAAGGTGTTCTTTCCCCTGGATGTGGACATTATTCGGGAGCAGGTTACTCAAGGAAAGTTCAAGTTTTTGGATCAGTATGAGGCGTTTGTACCTCCCAAGGCAGCTGCCGCTGCGGCTTCAGGTCAGTTGAGTGATGAATCAGCTGCTTCTTCGGATTTGGGAAAACCAATGCAACCCAGTATGAAACAGGATCCTTTTTCAGACGACCAGCAGATATATGCGGCCTCCGTTGCTCCCACCTCTCGTACCTTTCAAACACATAACCCCCGCAGTCAAAACGGCAGTAATGGGACAAATTATGCGTCCTCCCTCGATACGACCCAACATTACCATGCCCAGCCGGTGGATTATGTCCGCCGCTCGGCCGAACGGACGCGACATTCTTTCGATAGAGTTCGGCATGATTTCGAAGCGAGCGAGTTAACGCGAGTGGAGACGACACTTACAAGTGGCGTTCAAGAGCCTCAAAGTCCCCATAGTCCACTAAAAGCCCCCTACGATCCTCCGTCGCATGCCTCATAAAATTATATCATCTATTTTATACTATATACACTCGATGTTTCTTACGCCCCTTTGTCGGTTTCTTGTCGATGCATCTGATTCTGTTTTGTTTGTGTTCTGCATGACGAGTAATCCCCTTGTTTTCCTGGAGCCCCGCTGTTTATTCCCCTATAGAAGGCGTTCGGTATACAGATTTGGCTGGTGGTTCGGCGCGAATTTCTTCTATCGAAACTTTCCTACATTCATCGGCCTTTTCACTTTTCCTATTTTTATCTTGTGGCGTAATGCCTGTGTCACTTCTTGTACAAAAGCTTTATATTTCCTGTGTGTGAATATGCCCCTGCCATCGCTTACCAATTTTCCCTTTGATCCCTTTTCTCTTTTCTCATATAATCTTGACTGTTATCTCAAAGACCTGGTGAGGGGGACAACCTTCAGCGCGCTTGAAGGAAATGAGGTATGCGTGGTGGAAGGAATTATGGATTTTACGTTTTCTGTTGAAGACCGTCGATGTGAATATCTCTTAGAGAGAACTAGTGTTTATTTGAAAGGAGGCATTCGCCATGAGTGGACTCTATAGTAGTAATATTTATGAGTAACTACAGTACTAAAGTAAGCTATTGAGAAGTGAGATTAATCTGAATCCGGTCTAGCGCACCGAAGGATAAGCGCGTCCTGGCGCGTAAAGTGGATGACGGGCGTTTTCACCGCCTTTCAGGTAAGCCAATGGGATTGGACGCCGACTCACTCCGTTGTATTGCATGCCTTTCCGATGGGCTTTTTCATTTCCCTTTCCTTTTGCTGTCTCTTTGTGTCGTTGCTTGTTTGAGGGCATGGGAAAACACATTATCCCCTGAATCTCTTTAAGAGTTGTGTGCGTTTATACAGTAGTGTTCATTCCTCCTTGTGTTCCCATTACCCAGCGGAAAAGCAAACCCTTTTGTATTCATCTCTTCAGAGCCTAGTTGCCACAGCCATGTTTTTATAGGCCACTGTGGAAGCATATCTTTGAAGTCTGGTTAGGCTAGTGGTGCAGTTTTGTGGGACTCTGCATTCTATATTCGAGCAAAGTAGCCAATCTTTGTCTGTTCCAAAAGGGAATGCTCCGTGAGCTCTTGGTTACAGCAGCGACACATCATAGCTGGATTATTGGACTGTAACCATGGAGTTTATGGATATTGTTGGGTGAGTCACTGAATCGTGCATCCTCAATTTGTCATCGTCCATTGCAGCAATTAAATGTCTATCTGTTTGCAGAGAGCTACAGGCGCTTCCCGACAACGTCCACATCCTATGCCCACGCCAACATGATGATGACCATGCACGCTACGATGAGCCCGAACAGGTAGATGAATCAGGGAGGAAAATTGCAGACTTGGTGGCTGAGGCAGCCACTCGTAGGGAGAAATTCCTATCATGTATGCGCATATTGGCGTACAACGAAGAGGGCGTTGAGGAGCTACAAAGTTGGATCTGGAGAAAGCTGGACGACACCCTCGAAAAATGCGACCTCTGTATCAAGCAGTACTACACGGGAAAGATATGGCTTATGGAACAACTAAAAGAGAACTACGATGATGAAGATATCGAAAAGTTTTCTCGGATGATTGACGAATGCGACATAAAAAGAATAACGAGGAATTTGGCCACAGCAACGGCAAAATTAAAAGAGGTGCCTCCTCAAGAGATCGGGCTTCATGTGTTGGACCGGGCATCTTTGTTGTCTATCTTTGAAAGCTTGAGTTGCGATGCTATGCTTCGCAATGATAGTCTGCTTCAGGAATATTTCGACGAGCCGTTTCGACTCATTCAGACGAAGCGTAGTCTGAAGGTTTCCGATTATATTCCGGCTGTCACCCGCTTCTTGTTTGATGCCAATCAGAGCCGCAGCTTTTGGGCCATCCAGGCTTGGATGCGGTATGCACGGCCTCCCACCAATATGGAATTTGACTGGGCAATCAAAGAAGGGCTTCTAGGCGCACTGAGGTCAGCGTCTCAACAGCCAACCCAGGTGGCTGCCATCCAGCGGCTTTGGCGTGGAATGCAGCTTGTGGTGAAGAGGTTAGACAAGGACCAGATTACCCATCATCTACGCGCCCTTGAAATCGATCCTTGCCGTCTTTCTGTGGAGCATCTCGGAATACAGTCTCCTGGCCTGCGCTTTATCTTGAACACTGTTCAGATATTCCTGGAAAAGGCACCCGGGGATTTTTGGGATGCAATGCAAACCATATCACCTCAAGCTATCGTTGAGCTTGTTTTCTACAATCCCCAGCTAGATGCATTTTTAATGCAAGCTACCGAGGGTGGGCCCTTTGAAAAATCCGCTATGAAGGACATGTTGTCGTGGGTCAATCCATTCATGTCATCGCTGAAGGGTGCCCATCAACCGACAGCATGCAGATCCCTAGTATACCAGCTCCTTGATCGGCTACAGGACTCGCGCTTTCCAAACTTGGCCAGGTATCATTGCTTTCACATTGGTCTGTCGAGTTTACTTTATACACTTCGCAGTTTCACCGATCACGAATCTTCGAGAGGCTCCGTAGCGCGTGTTGTCCTATCAGAAACTATGGGAGTGGTGAGTGCAAACATCGATAGAATCCTTGTGCCTCCCAACTTTGAGATTGAACAGGGACGCCAGCGAGAAATATTGTCGCTGTGCATGGATGTCATTCGTAATACACTAGCCCTCGAGTGCCAATCCCTCAAGAGCGATTATGAAGTCATCTTGCGGTATAATACCCTTCAACATGGTGTAAGCACGTATTCAGCCCCAATCTGGGACGCCGTTGTAAAACACCTTCATGAAGATAATCTGGCCCTTTCGACATCTGCTCTGCTAGGGATATTACCGCTGGTCGGTCTGGAGAAATTCTCCACAAAAGGGGGAGCCAGTCAAGAGAAGACACACTTCAATATGATCTACGGCCATCTTACCCATCTCTCATGCCAAATAATTGAGCGTCTCTCAGATTTTAGACCGGAACATCTCGACGAGCTCTTCAAAAGCCAAGATACTAGTAGTGCTCTGATTTCCGCTCTTTTCGCCGCTGATCTCAACACTTACCAAGCTGCAGTTGATCTGATAAAAAATGTTAGTGGACAGTCTGCTCGAAGGGATGCCATTTCCCATCTCTTACAGTCATTCTTTACTACGACGATGTACGGCCTCAGCTGGTCTTTCCGACGTATTTCAAACATGAAAACATTTGCCTCTGCCCCGAGGATGATTCATACAGGAACGGACATTTTGGAAATTCTTTGTGACAGCCAGACTGGTATGCTTAGAACTCGCAAGCTAGTTGATCGCAGAGAGATCCTTTCTCTTCAAAAGCTATGGGAGTATCTGTGGCAAGCTTTGACAACGATATTCGATGAAACTGAATCGTGGCATCTCAGGGGCAATGACAGAATGGTGATGTTGGAATTCTGTCGTGATAGTATCCAGTTCGCCGATTTTCTTTTCGATCAATATGGTGTCTTTCTGAGCGCCGTTGTCGACGCGGATCCCAACCAAGAGACCTCTGCGCGCGAAAATTTCCTTAAGCCTCCGACCGCGACCATGAGCACAATGGTCAAATGGCTCCGACTGAAGGACGAATATCTGGCTACCACCCTGGTTGGCCTTGTTGCCAAGCTTCTCCGCCGTCTAGGGGAGCTCAGCGTTACGACGGTGAAAGAAGATGCTCTCATTTATATTGAGGGTGTTGCAGTTAAGTCTACCGTCAAGACTATATTGACTTTACGGGAGAAGGCAGAGCTTGTTCGAGCCTTAGAAGCTTACTACAAGAAGCCTGTTGTTACCGCATCAACTGCCAGCCTAAAGAAACAGAGCTCCATCACGGCATTTGCTAAACCTGCGGAGCTTTCAACTACTCCAAGCCCTTCAAAGACGCCGGATGAGTTCGATGACAATGTCCCAGATGATGTCCTTTTGCAGTTGTCTCGATCTGTGGAACTAAACAAGGAAAGAGTCGCTGCCGAAGCAAAGAAGAAGGCTGAGAAAGCAGCGAAAGCTCTTCCGGCGATATCTAAGCCGGCCCCAGCGCCACTGAAACCCAATGTAACCATCCAAGCTTTCCGTGAAAAGCGCGAACGTGAACGAGAGGCCAAAAAGAAGCGTGATATGGCCGAGCTTGCCCGTCTGAAGAAAAGTCTTCCGGTACATGGCGTTGCTGAACAAACCGCAGAACAAGGTTCTGGACTCAGTGGTATCGGAGTCAAGGGCAAGGACCATACGCCTGCCGATAGTATGATGGTCTCCTCAGGGTCGGAGTCTGAATCGGAGAGTGAAGACGAACTTGACAGAGAGCTGTTCGGCCCGAAAAGTGGGTCAAAACCTGATGCTGTCAAGGCCTATGAAGAAAGCAAGAGACAGTCACTTAAACAGCGGGGTCCTGTCAAGAAGATCAAGCAAGTGCGCTCCGCGAAGGATATGCGAGCACGGTTGGCTCCCGACCTTTCTTCACTACATCGGACCATACTATCTTGGGATTTCTTCGCAAACGGCGATCTTCCACCCAACTCGGGTCGTACGGATTATAGTTTGATTTCTAACACATTTAGAGACCCTATCGAGTATCAAAGGACTTTCGAGCCACTTCTGATACTAGAGGCGTGGCAAGGTTTCCAATCCTCGAAAGAAGAGGGTAACTTCAAACCATTTGAGGTTAAGGTCGCGACGCGACTGTCAGTGGACTCCTTCATGGAAGTTGGCGCATCCATGCCAGCCCTTGAGGTCAAAGACTACGGCATTGGCGAAGCAGATATTGTCTTGCTCTCAAAGGCAAACTCACCGGCAACTAATTCATCTGCCCCTCATTGTCTTGCTCGGGTCGCTGGGATAAAAAAGAAGAAGGGAATTGTGGAAATTGCCTATCGAGTCAACCCCGGCAACCCATTTATCAATTCCCTTGCGCCAGGATCAGAGATTTGGGGCGCCAAGATCACGTCGTTAACCCCTCTGGAGCGTGAATTCGGTGCTCTCATGGCTTTGCAATACTATGATCTTTGCGAGGAAGTCGTGAAGGCCAAACCGTCCCCGCTTCTTAATTATTCAGAGGCAACCTTGAACCCAATTGCTGAGAACTACAATGTCAATCCTGCCCAAGCAAAGGCGATCAAGTCCGCCCTAGACAATGATGCTTTCACACTTATTCAAGGTCCTCCCGGCTCTGGAAAGACAAAGACAATCGTTGCCCTTGTGGGAGCTCTGTTGAGTGGCACCCTTGGTGCTCAAGGTGTAACTATCTCGCGGCCCACAGGAATCGGTAACGCCAAACCTCCCCCAAGGACAACCACGTCAAAGAAGTTGCTCGTGTGTGCTCCTAGCAATGCCGCTGTTGACGAATTAGTCATGAGATTCAAGCAAGGCGTTAAGACGATTAATGGTCGCCAGGAGAAGCTATCAGTCATTCGATTGGGAAGAAGCGATGCCATAAATTCTAACGTCCTTGACGTTACTCTAGATGAACTGGTTAATGCAAGATTGAATCACACATCACGCAACGACTTGGGTGAAAGAGATCTACAGAAAATTTATATGGAGCACAAAGCAGCCGATACTGCTTTCAAAGAAACTCGTTCCAAGTTGGACCAATGCCGAGCTCAGGGTT